ATATCAAAAAATATAGTTGTTATCAATAAAAAGATTTCTGTGACACTAGAAAGTCTTAGGCTTGGTCCTTGGTGGGTTGAGTAGTGTACACTACTATGGAATCTAGTACCTGAGTGGAACAGCTATTTATTGTTTAGTGGTTTTCGATGATTCACCGGCTGTGGTCAACCTACAAATTATACAGTACACGAATAAGATTTACATGGACAAAGTCTTCTGATAGAAAGATCAGTTTCATTATCGGGTTAAAAGTCAGTCAATTAGTTCCTACTTTGCCTAAATAGTTTATCAGTGATAAATGTACTCACCAAACTGTTTTGCTGAATGATTTCATCATGAGTTGATTATTTTTGCACCCCGTAAAAATAATTGACTGCCTTTTTTCTTGAGCATTCTAATAATTGTTACTTTACTAACTTTTTTTACTTACACCTGTTATTCTCAATGGAGCATAGGCCACCGACCAGCATTCTCCAGCCCGTTCTGTCCTGAGCCTTGCTTTCCAGTTCTGTTCAATTTTTGTTCATTTTCTCATATCTGTCTCCATTTCTCAGCGTAATGATGATGACTTTCGTAGTTCTCCAAGTTTCCGCCCCAAACAATGTTGACATTTGTATTGAAAATCCTGACTTTGGTGTTGGTTGACAGTTGTTGAGTTCCAGATGTTCTTCAGTTGTAAATATGCTGCTCTTGCTTTGCCGATATTGATGCTATAATATATCAATTATAAGTTATAAACACAAATAAGAGACGTTACTTGAATCGGCAGGTTTTTGCGTGTTCGAGTTGCGTTTTGTACCAGAATCCACAATTATATATAATGAATAATTCCAATGAGGTTGTTATGGTTCCAGTAATATACCTAGACATAGAATACAATGTAAATGTTGCTGCAGTCTATAAGTGTAGATGATAGATATTTCAGAGTTCAGTCATCATAACCACAGGCAATGTAGAACGAGAATTGTGTACAGTAGTGCACCTCGACAATGCTTTACAGCTATTGAAATCGTTAAGGTTAAATGCTAGCTTTGATGCTGATTGCATCCCACAATTTCTTCATAAAACTGCAGAGCCGGCCATACTAGCATTATTACTCGAAATATTTACTCCATTCCCGGAAGCAGGAACATGCCTTGAATGTAAGAATTTAATGTGTACTGTCAGGACCGAAAACCCTTTTTTAGAACTGCAGACCAACAAAACTCACCCAGACCGTCCAATGCATAATAGGGAAAGTGATAAAAGATCAGATGTCTCCTCACCTATTTTGCGATGACCTAATCTCACTACTCGTAACAAGGCTTCAGCAGAATAATTTCTTGCTCCATATGCCTAATAAATTTTTGTTTTTCCGAGGTTAATCACATTCGTGATCAAAAGCGACATCTGATCTTACCGCACGTAGGTACCGTGAAAGTCTTTCACAAAGTAACTCATAATCCTAGTCAACAAAATTCAGTTCATCAAAATTGCTAACCCACAATGAGGCCGACAAATCAGTTTTCTACGAATAGACACCAAAGGACAATATGTAACTTTATGTATCTGGGTGAACAACCAATGGTTTCGTGCATGACATTGTCTTGGGTTCTTTGCCTTTCTGAATATGCAGTATGTGTACGTGTTGCGTCTTGTGAACTTTCTGACAAATGTCATGTAACAAGTCACGAATTCCACTTATAATCCCAACTTCATCTACCATTCGCATTGCAGTATAGTGCATCAGGCTCGACCAATTGCATGCCCGACTAGAACTATCGATTTTGAGCCAATAATTAGGTTTCTATAGGTCTGCTGTTCAATAGCTCCCTTCTATATCCTGTCTTTAAGTCTGGCATTAGCGACCAACCAATTTTTTATACCTAATTGCAACATACCATACAAAACAATTATGCATAAACAAGCCAAAAGTGGCTGTTAGTAATTAAGATTTTGACAGACTGACAACAAGCCGGGCATAATACATCGTAATATGGTGATTTATAGTACAACCGGAATTTTATGATAAGCGGAATATATTTGCAACGTAATGTTGTCACACCATAATTATACAGAAAGTTTTTTCATCAATAATAATTCAGAAAACCAGTCCCAAATTTTAGAATGTCTGTTCCGTTTTAATAGTAAATGCTGTAACACAGGTACGACACACTTCTAAGCAAATGACTTGAAAGTCAGTTTTCATCCTAACATTGTTTCTATAGTTTGTTCTACATCTTAAACCAAATGCGAACCTATTAAAGTACATGATCAGGGTAAATATTGAAGTGTAGAACTAAACACCGATGGTTGCAGATGGCTATGCGTTGAAGACAAGTTTGTTGAAATTCAACCCACAATGACCAAACGTACTGAAAAAACCCGAATCTGCAAATGACTTTGGAGTGTGTTGTAAGGATAGTCTCAATTTCTCTGGACACACCACTACAAAACGTACATGAATCATGAAAATTGCAACATCCCATTCTCCGTAACACTTTTTTCTAAAGAATTTATAATCATTCTTTTGGTGATATTTCTCTGACTGATCAATAAACACTGCTCGTCCTTATTTCACAAATTATGACTATCAGAAATAATGAATGTGCTAAAAATGCAACAAAATTCCACCAGCTAAATGCTTAAAATTGACTCATCAAATGATTGTCCTTTCCAGTGTCATAAACTGTAACCTGGACGCCTCTACGAAAGTAGCCTTATGTTCATGAAGATTCTCTAGTCCAAGCTTCTATGAAAACAAGGTTATTCGTCATATACTATAGCCCTTCAGCGGTAATTAAATTCCAGAAATCAAAAGTTTTGCGAATCTTTAACATTAACGTTTGACTACCCTGAATACGTCTAAGCTGAAAGCGCATAGTCAGGTATCTGCGCCAGCTCAAGTTTGGGTACAATGTGCTGCGCATTTCTCTCAACAAACCGTCTTAGATCACGCAATTCTCAACATGACTACTATCTTCCGAAATTTTCCTTGACTCCTTCAATCCTGACTTCCGTTCCTACTGTCTTTGGGGTCGTTGATTAGGAATGCGGTTTGAACATCAGCGTTGTCGAAGACCTCTTCAATGATGAGCTTCGACATGCATTGGTACAGCGAACGATGAACTGCGGATTTATTGCATATTGAAAATATTACATGTATTTTACATATTGTGATATTACTTTTGTGTTTTCGGACTCTTTTCATCTCATATTAACAAATTTTATTTCTGTTGTATCCAATCATTCAGACGGAAGGAGATTGCAACTCCCATATCACACCGTACAACTCATGACAATATGCCCTGACATTGTCAAGGCTTAGTTTCACATAAACAGGAGAACTTCTATGAACACAAAGTGATCAACTCACTCGCATGGTGCTTCATAGTGCTGAAGACACTACGAGCGTGTGTTCGACAGGTACATTAGAACTATTGTGTTTGCTCTTGATGTTTTCAAACCTTAAATCGTTTTTAGGAATGTTGTTCTTAAACATGGAAACTTAAAAGATCGACATCAGTTAGACCAATAACTTCGCTATGTCAAATTCATTAACAGTTTGATAACAGGACTATCGCTAGGTATGCCAGATTTTATTGGCCGATGAACATTTGATGAAAAGTATTTCATAAAACACTTTTTATCTTAGTCTCCTCACCTAATAAAAGTGAACCGTACTAAAATTTAAAAGAATCCTGTAGATGAAATAAATGCATCTGTCGACTGGATTCAGAAACCCAAGCATCGTAGTTTGTTCTATCAAAGAAAACCCTGAGTCAACTCTAAACGAAGTAAGGATGAGAGATGCGAAGCGGAAAAAGCTTAGGTACCATCTCATTCTCATCGTAACGTGACTTGACATTTGTAAACATGAATGCAAACCTGAATGACAATGTAACTCAAAATAATAGAATATTTCTTTTGTCCAAAAGTGGGGACAAATCGTGTGGGCTTGTAACGATGCTGGCCACTAAATGATTTATGTTTTGCCTTCTTCTTTGAAGAAACTTAGCGCGGGAATTATCCACTCTGATATAGTAGATGTCTGACCTCTGAAGTACCACAGACATTTTCTAATGTTTACTCAGCAACTCGCCAGAAAACTTCCTTCATCCTATCCTTTAATGCCGATGAGGGGATAAGTCTCCTAAAATCGGTCCACAGATGAAATGTAAAACCGGAACGTGAAAAAACTCATGCACTGGTAACATTGAGGCTCATTTTCGGCCAGTTCGACGAAAGAGGCTTCCACATAATCTTCAACAGTTCCATCTGTCCCCATTTACAATACGGAAACAGTATTTCCTCCCTCACTACAAATGGATAAGGACACTGGAGCGTATCCAACGGCGAGCCACGAAATCAGTTCTAGGACTGAAATTCCAGCCCAATAAAGAGCTCTAATCACTCAAACTTTATCCATTAGAGTAAAGGCGTCTTAGAGTTGACCTTCTAATGGCTTACAGTATTCTTAACACTTCTGGACATCCCCTTAATCACGTACATAAGTTTAGCTCCAACATAACATCTAGAAACTGGAGACACAACATAGCAGAACGGACTGTAGACACATCTACTTTTCAAGGAAAGTCAAGTACTGCAATTTGCCACCGGGTGAGCTAGTTCAGGCGACTTCTCAGGAGTTTTTTAGGAGAAAACTTACCATATTCTTAAGGACTAAGGATAGTTCAAATGGTTCAAATAGTATCTTACTGTGATTTACCAATTTCTTCGTTTCTTTTATCATTAATTTACCTAGTTCCTGTCTGGAGGCATTGGTGATTCACTGTTACAAGACACGGAAGCCCGTTATGAGAAAGCTTTTTCTATTCCGTCCACAACCATTTGGACCTAGTCTGTCTCTCTGAAACCCAGTGAACTATCAATTTGTGAGTTGCAAAAATGCATGGATAATAATGATTATAATGTATATGTCGTCGTTATTAATTTACTTCGTTCTAGTAGCCAAGGTATGAGTGAAGGTATCATTTGAAGGTGAAATATGAAATGTATATGCACAAAAATACGCGCCGCCTGTTTCAAGACTTCGCGTTATGTTTCAATGATCTCTAAGGAGGATCAAGAAGGTCTTTTAGAGGAATGTCTATGCACTGTTAGACAGTATGCTTGTCAAATGGAATGCTGTCTGGTTAGGAATGTTTTTTTTTAAACTTCTTTGTAGGAAAAAAGATATTTGGTTGACGCTATACAACATGCTGCTAATATGCTTTTGGAGATGAAAAATTATTCTTTGTCACCAAAAGCGTACTATGAGTTGTGTAAGTAGCCAGAGATTTTTTGAAATTTGGCACCTTAGATATTGTTGTTACAGACAAACTACGCACTCTGGAATCCTACCTTATCGAAGAACACAAAAGTGGACGCAAGGTTTCATATTTATATGAAACAGTTCAATATATTTCAAATATTCTTCCTAGATTGTACGTCAATTAACTTTCGAGCTAATAATGTTATGTTATTTTTCATTTATGGTAATGAGGTCGTAAAAACATAGTCGTTATATTATCCCCATTCTTATGCGTCATATATTGTTCCCAGTTTTGTTTCATCTGCAACATTTTCCCTCGGTTGACACGGAGCAAGCTCTGATTACTTCAGACATGCCCCTATTAGTTCACTTTCAGTTGTAATGTATTATCTTCAAGTCAAATGAATCAACTTCATGCGCATCTGGTTACTAAGCCTTCTTTTTTTCTTTTAAAATAGCTGAAAAATTTAGCGTTGTAATATCATAGTAAAACAGCCTTTTCAGACCTTAACTCTGGCACTATCTGCTATCCATACAGAACCTGACGGTAGTTTAAAATGTTATGGTATTTAGTCTTTAGTACTTCATAAATATGCGATTAGAACGCAAGTTTCACCAGTGTTATTATGATCTTCGTACTCTCTGGTAAACCTATCCCAAGCTCTAAATTCTAAGTTGCAAACCATCACATCCCTTAAATCCTTTTGTTAAAAGAGGGTTCTCTAGATTAGATCTCTAGAACTGAAATGATTTACTCAGTTTAGTCAGAGACATTTAACTCACACATGACAAACAAATAAATGCGATACTTGTCAAAGCATTGTCTTATAAGCGGTGATAACATTTTTCTAGCCAAATTGAAACTATTACCCACCTTTTTTGTTACTAAGTTTATATCTTTTTGACTGAATATATGCAAACTCCAGCCTAATTCGTACTTTTTAAAATAGATAGGAATCATATGTCGATAATAATTCAGAATAGTGCTTCCAATTTCTGTATTATGTACGGAAGCTTACATAGAAGAGTAATAGTATTCGCTTTATTCAGTGCTGTGTATAATGTGATAAGGAATCACACACTAATTGCTTGATATAATGGTGTTAAAAATTCGAGTTAACTTGTCCACCTCATATTTGCACATGAGCCATATCCTGGGTGTGAAGGGTAGTGGTACTACCCGGTTGCCTAAACCTAAGTAGGTGGAGTGGGGCTCGGATCATAAAGTTAGTGGTTGAACTCTTAAGCCACCGCTCCGCTACATATGTGCTAGTGTTCTATTTTATGATTCCCTTTCACATATTCCTCTTTACTTGTATAGTGCATGGTCTCCCCAAGATGTTTCTTTTTCATCGCTAATCACCGTAGCCATCTTTGGACATGTAAATAACAGTTTGGCAGATGACTTTAACACAACTCATTCGATTTGATTTATTTATTTTAACACAAATATTGGTACGAAGGGGCATCAGATACATGTGCACCACACAATTACAATGAGAATGTGAAGAGACAGAGAATGTAAGGTGAATATAAGAAAAAGGGGGACAATAACGAACAGAAACTAGCGTATTATAGTAAAATAACAATAATGGGAGAAACATTTCAGTTAGCAAAGATACAACCGGAAAGAATTTTTCTAGTTAAAGAAGTTACGTCCACTTTTTTAATGAAGAAAGTAAAAAAAGTTACGGCAGGATCGCCACTGGCTTCTATTCTGAGCCATATCTGATAACGCCTCTAGCCACTGTGTCGCACCATCTCTAGGATCTCAGCCAAGGAGTCGTGAAGGACCAACACAGGCCAACCCTTTGCAGCTTTCTTTCATGCCACGACACCATGTCATACACTGACCACCTCTCCGCTTTTTCTAACCAGTCCCGGCGTCAGCAAACAATGCACGACGTGGAATTCTCTGATATGACATTCATAGAACATGCTCAAGCCACCGAAGTCGGTGTTTCGAGATAGTGACACTGACTGAATTATCGTCTCTGTGCCTGAACACACGATGCCGAACTTGTGCATTACTAACATGGTGTTGCCACTGGATATCAGCAATCCTTCGGAGACAACGATGATCGAACACAGAGAGTCGTCTAACATCCCCAATTCGGAAAGGCCAGGTTTCACAAACATAGAGCAAAACTGCTCTCACCGATGCACTATAGATCTGATCTTTTACAGCCAGACTAACATCACGAAGGCGCCAAAGATGGCCCAGATTGGCATAAGCCACTCTGGCTTTCACTATACGTGCATTGATCTCATCACTCACGCCACCACCAACACTTATGCAGCTACCTAGATACACGACCTTCTCGATTACTTTTATTTGCTCACCACCCGGGGTGATTCCAGGATCAGGGTCCTGTCAGTTTTGTAAAAGTACTTTGCACTTTGAAGGTGTAAAGCACATACCATACTTACGGATAGTAATCGTTAGCTCATCAAGTGTGGATTGCTTGGCTTGGGTATCATCTCACAGTAAGACAATATCGTCCACATACTCAAGGTCGATAAGTCTTTCTCCAGGCAACAGATCCACACCACTTATCTGCATCCATCAGAGCTGCTTCCAGAACGTCGTCGATAGCAAAGTTGAGGAGGAATGGTGAGATTGGGCAACCCTACTTAACCACACTGCTTGAATGTAACAATGGAGTAAGGTGGTTGTATGCCCTCACTCTGCCTGAGGTGTTTGTATATAGGGCTTTTAGGATGTTAATAAGCTTCTCAGACACACGCTTCTTCAATAGACAATCCCAGAGAACAGTCCTGTTTAGCGAATTGAAGGCAGCTCTGATGTCAAGACACATTGCTATTGTTGGCCTGTGATAAGTATGGTGGTGTTCTAACATTTGGCGGAGGGTGAAGATATGGTCAATACATCCTCGACCAAAACGAAAACCAGACTGCTCCTCGCGAGTCAATCTTTCTCGGGTTTTGAACAACCTACGAAGTATGACGGAAACCAATAGTTTGGACGCAATCGGAAGTAGACTTATCCCCCGATAGTTGTTATTGGAACGATGTGAACCCTTTTTAAAGATAGGGACAACTATTGCTTCATTCCATGACTTTGGCACACTCTAGTTCCCAGACCTTTGTAAAGAACTTTATCAGTTCCTTAACCAGAAAGTCACCATCTTTAAAGTCATCTGGGTCCGGTGATTTTGTAGCGCCTTAAGAGTTGGAGTTTCTCGTGGACTTCCGACTCATTTAGTAAACCAGTCGTCACAGGCCGTACAGGGTAGGACAGTCTGGTCGATGTTGCTGGGGCAGCAGACCACTTGAACTGCCCCTCTAAAAACTCTACCCATCATTTAAGACGTCCATAGATGTTAGTGACTGACATCTCGTCATCTTCACAGATTGTTCTACTCACACCAGACTTCTTGCTGCCATTGGCTCGGATGAATTGAAAGAGCTTCCAGCAGATTAACGCAAACAAGGGCATGATCAGAGTCCAGATAGGTACTCCGAGTTCCCGGCTAGTACTACTCCTGCTACTACTTCCTGCCGAAGAACTGTTAACTAGTGGTGAAAGCCATCCTTGATCGCATCCGGGCTGCAATTTGTCAGAGCATGGGCGGAGATGACCAAAAGACGTCCTTTCTCATAGCGATTATTTCTCACTTTGATGGAAATTTGTGATTTGACAGCACATAATCGACTGTTAATGGAATCCAATCGATCAGTGCTGCCTCTGCTCTGGCTCTTAGTGCTACACGAACGCCAGCAAAACCAGACGAAGATGCCACAGGGTCCCTGGATAAAGGCACGTAAAACAAACCTTTTGAAGCGACAGATGGAGAGCAAATTTGTAGTAATTCACTAGTTTTCAATTCTATTTATTTTATTTATTTGAACACATAAACGTTGGTACAAGGAGGCACCAAATAAATGCGAGCCACATAAGTCATTTGATTTGTGTGAGGACTGGGATACTGCCCGGGTGCCCAAACCGAAGCAGGTGGTTTTCTTAGGGGGCCACACCCTGAGTCTTTGACTTAAAGGTCTAATCCACAAGACAGTGGAGTAACGTCAGGAGATGCAGTCCCATGGTAGCCGGTGACCAACGATTGGTTCATACGCCATTTGTTCCTTCAGGATACTGGAGCCTCGTGTTCACCATTGGTTTGGAATGAGGGTTTTCCAACTCCGCTAAGTAGATCCTCCGTGTCCACCAACTCGGTTAAAGTGCCGGACATTCGCTTTTCGTTCTCTGAATTTCGTAAACAACAGTAATGCCGCGAGAAGGCAGTGAGTAAGACTTCCCTGTCAGTGGTTGTATGCACATGTCTATGTGAAGGCATTTGGAGAGGGAGAGCGGACTCTCCCGATCCTCGGCCTTACCAGGGCATTCGGGGGCTTTATATTTATCATTAAAACTATTAGTAACAATATTTAAAACCTTGGTTGTTGTCAGTTTAAGCTTTTTTGTAAACTGGAATCAATTTTTTTGAATTCGTGGTTCATATTAATAAACTTTGACTTAGGAGGATGTTTACCAATAGTATTTTGATTTCTTGCATCCGTAGAAATATTTACTAGTTCTTGTAAAACACTTCTTCAGGTACTTACTTATTACTGTTGGAGTTTATCATATTAAATGTTCCGACCTGTCGCGACGTGAAATTCTTCGTGATCTGGTAGAAATGTGTTCTGGTGTACAGCATCCTACAAGAGGTCTTTTTTTGAGAAGTTATCTATTGCAATCACTACGAAGTGATCTTCTCCCAGATATTGAGGTACTGTTTAGTTGTATCTGTATTTTATAACCTCCCAATTTGAGTTAGATACTTATAAATACAATTATTGTTATGCTTTTTCAGAAATGTATCACCACTCACTTTTCACATTTTTGTTCAAGTGCTTTCTAGAATCTATGAGGTGTTGTGTAGTAAAAAACCCAGATAACAGACGTTCTTTTGCTTACAGTTGTAGTGTGTTTATAAATACTTAAGCTTGTTACCCCTCGTGGAGGAGCACAGGCCGCCCACCATCGAACTCTATCCTGGGCAATCTCAGTTGTTCCCTGTTGCTATTCATCCTTTTGGTGTTTGCTTCCAATAGTCGGAGCAGTGTGTTACTTGGTCTTCCTCTTTTCCACTTCCCTTCAAGATTCCAAGTTAGCGCTTGCTTCGTGATGCACCCTCAAACAATAAATAAATACATGCTTCATGATGCAGTTTGATGATTTCGGTAATGTGTGTCTTATCCACTTCCAACGTCCTTTCCTAATTGCCTCTTGAGCTAGAAGCTGGTTTGATCTCTCCCACAGTAGGCTGATTCTGATGATATCCAGCCAACGGATATTGAGTTTTAGTTTGGTGTGTTATCACCAGTTTGTATCAATTTCATCTGCTATTCAACTTCGCTCAACGGAATTAATTTGTATTCAGACATGAGCTACAACTGAATAAACCTATTCACTAATAAATGATGTGAAAAACTCATAGTTCGCTTGTGACACAACTTCATTGTTTGGAATCGTCCGAAAGTCCCAGTTATCTGACTGAAGATTGATAAGTTTTTTCTCACTTTTGATTAGCTTTTGAATTATGATATCAACTTGTCAGAAGTCAGTCTCGATATATATTTTTGGTATCAGAAAAATTGTAAAGGGATTTTTATTTCTCTGTCATCAATCGTCTAGATTCCTTTAAGGTTATATCGTACGTTTAAATTATCTCATCCGTTCATCAGAAAGCTCTGAATCGATATGGTAGGTGACTTCCTGCATTAGTGTTATTCCTGTGATCCGTGTAAAATGTGACTAATTAACGGTTGGAGACAAATCCGGACTTTCAGTGTGTAACAGTCACAACATAACTGGTATTTCATAAAACCGTTATTTTTATTCACTGGATTTGAGCTCGTTGCTTTAACTGTTTTTTCTTATCTCGACAACCAGTCAGATGAACATTGTTTAGAAATCCCATTTTCATTAGCGTTTCAAATGATGTGTTAGTTGGCTGTGAGAAGTCTAAATGTTTGATGAATTGTAAACATAAACTTGAACTTTCGAAAATACGCGAATTAAATTTTTTCGGCACTTCAAACAGATTGACAATAGAATTAAAAGAATTATTCGATCTCATATTTGAAGGCATTTATGTCCAACCCAGATTTCTTATGGTTATAGGGAACTTCACATTGTTCATTAAATTTCAGTTCTTCAGTGTAATATCAAAGCCAACACTTCTACTTTGCCATTAACTTCAATAACGTTTAATGGTTTTTTGTGATTGACGCAAATGTGGGATTTTCTGTTTTGGTGCAGAAATATGCTGTAGAGCTTCGGAAGAGGAGCAGCAGATATTTTTTTGTCAATTTCATATTATCTGAACAATAAGCACTGTGATTTCTTTACATCTAATTGACAGCTGCCAACTAAGGCAGTACACACGGCGTATTTTACTGTTTTTTACTGCCTCATACAGATTACCTTGGTATTTCTAATTTTGCCTGTTATTTATTTATTTATTATTGCTAATATTATTGATATTCCTAACTCCTATTTCACTATATTTAGGACTCACCATCAACACATGCAGCTGTAAATGAAACGGAAGATGATAGCAACAAAACTAGTGGTAAATTATCACCTGATGAGAATAAACTAGACGATAACAATAATATTAATGATGATGGTGAACAAAAGATTAATCAAAAATCAATTCATGTTTACTCACAAGGGACAATTGCTGATAGTATAAACTTCCTATTATTCAATTTTTCGGAAATGAATAAACTTTGGGTACGAATGCAACATCAAGGACATACCAGAGACCGTGAAAAGCGAGAACAAGAACGTCGAGAATTACGTATACTTGTTGGTGCAAATTTGAATCGATTATCCCAATTAGAATCAATCGATGTTGAGCGATATAAAACAGTGAGACCTTTAGCGTGACGTTTTTTATTCATGTTGATGTTCGCAAACATAGAACAATAACGAAATCGGTCGTTACTCATCTCATCAGCAAAAGTGAAAATATGAAAGTCACCTTATATAAAAAACACCAGCAACATATCACAAGTCTATTCTTAGGTCTACTGTTGTCATTATTTTATAATCAAAAGGAATCGCTTCAACAATAAACTATACGTAATAGAACTGCTTAAAAATAATCGTATTGTATATATGGGAGTGGTTAATTGAGTCTACGTTTGCATTTCAACTTGTTGACAAAAGAATTTCAATGGTTGAACCAATTTTTGTCTTCGGTGGAAAAAACTAAATTATAAAGCTGTTATGTCCCATTCCTTCCCTTTAAATCTAATTTCATTCATGAAATAATATATACTTCGGTTTGAGCAACCAGATAGTATCATTAGCCCTCACACTCTAAGTGTAGCTCATATTCAAGTATCTAGTGAATGAGTTAATTACGTATTATATTTATGAAATATGACACCATCGATTTGTATTTAGTGTTGTCCATCATTATTACTGTACAGTTGAAGGGCACTTTTGAAAATTATAGAAGATATCATCAATGATAAATACATCTAATAGAAAGTACTAAACTCATAGAGTTTACTTGTATATGCTTACCAATGCACATTGCCATAGATTTCACTTTTAATCGTAACAACTTAACAACTAAATCAGTCTTCACCAAACTTCATCGTATCGTTTTTCTGTACGTACTTAGTAGGAAGTCTTCTAAACCCACTTCAGGTTCGTTAGTCTTAAGCTAACTGTCGTCTTATGATTATTCTCAGCTCATATATACGTAGCTTAGTGGTAACGTTTTTAATTGAGCTACCGAATGACTCAGGTTTGAATTTCGTCAATTGGATTAGTTCCTAATTAATACAGACAAACATGAAACCCTCATATTTAGAGGCTAAATTTTAATTCAGTAATCATTTCACCACATTAAGCCTTAATTACCAGTATATCGTCGATCTTTTGTATGGTCATCTTAACATATGACAATATAATTGAGGTTGGAATTACTGACGGATTTGTACTCACTTTTGAATCTACCTGCTCGCTGAGAGTCCTGGGGTTGTATGTGAACACTACTTTATTTTATTTTATTTTAGCACATAGATATTGGTACAAGGAGGCACCAAATAGATATGCGCCACACAAATCATTCGATTTATGTGAGGGCTGGGATATTGCCCGGGTGCCCAAACCGAAGCAGGTAGTTTTCTTAGGGGACCACACCCGGAGCCTTCGACCTGAAAGTTTGATCCACAAGGCAGTGAAGCATCGTAAGGAGATGCAGTCCCATGGTAGCCGGTGACCAACGATTGGCTCATACGCCATTTGTTCCTTCAGGATACTGGAGCCCATGTGCACCACTACTAGGGAATCTTGAACAATTAGGTCAAAATAACTGTCGCGTTTTCCTGGGTTTTCATTTATTTTGCAGAGGATGTCAATCTGTGATGAAAAATACTTGAAAATTGATCTAATATTTGAAACCCACATAACTTAGTGTTTACTTATTTTTTTTTAGCAAGTCCTACCACCGATTTTGGAACAGATTATTGAATGCCGTGATGTTATCGCACAAGAATATCTCATGGATGTGGTCATACAGGTAAGTTTTTATTTGCTAGTCAGTAGACTTTGTATTGTTTAATTATGTTTACTTGTTGAAATAAACAATTACACTTGATCTAAATGTTGTTTGAATCTTCCCATTAATGTTTAAGATTGCATATGTGCATCCACTTCGGAATGCCTCGATATTGCCATTAATCCACAATCATTTTCAATAGAGATAAAAGATGGCTAGCAGTTGGATCCAGGACACTCGTTTCGAACGATCAATACATGTAAATTAATTTTCACCCCATTGCACAAGCTAGAAGCTATATGATCTCAGTAGCTACGTGGATAACGCAATAGCGTTTGAAGCAGACGGTACTGGATTTGAGTCGCGGAGTGAATATCAACCCTGTAGTGCAGGTACATCCAGCTAGCGAGACTCGGGACGAAACTCGCAACGAGTTTTCCGCTGTTAGCCACCATCCATCTATGCTTAAAATGATTCCACTGTTCCTAGAAGATCAAGCGTATGTTGATAAAATAGTTTGTTCAGAATGTATGCCTGAATATGTCCATTTTGTTGAGTAGGATCACTTGAGGATATAGATTATAAATAACTTGAGCAATTGTTTATATGACTAAAGAAGATAACTTATTAGTGACTTCTTAGTATGTCTAATCGTATTTCTCTTCTAGAACCGGTGGAAATTCGAATTAGTTCCTTCGTGCTATTTCTATTTTTAACCATTTGAAAAACACAAGATTTTCTAACATTTCACTTTGATCATTCAGATATCCTTTTGTGGAAGAAGGGGACTTACTTAAAACACTAACGTAGAATAGAATTTTTTTTAGTAAAAATGTGGTTCTAAACGTACTTTAACATGAATGGTTTTTAATCGTATGTCGATAACTAATTCTGTTAACAGTTTGACAGGCAAACCTATACAGAAATCTAGATAATTTATGAATATGTCTACCCCTGAATTAATAGACTAAGTTCATTTAGGGTTGTGTATTACTCTCTGTTAAAGAATACTGAAAAAAACTGAGATCTATAGCTGTCTACTTGTTGGTCCTAACTATTAATCATTATACACTCATTCAATATGACGCCGATTCACTTAACTTTAATAGTCATCATTTAAGCCTAATTCAATCAGCGAACACTGAGTATAAACAAATATCACGTCCGGTACTTTTTACTGATCAATTAATTCATCTCTTTTAGTCGGTCCCCGCCTGTAGCTCTTCTAGGGCTACTGCCAGTCCCAAGCCCTTGTAAAGGAGTAGGGTTGGGCGTAGAAAACAACCTTGCTGAAAGATGCTAACCAGAATAAACAAGTTTTAGTCGATCTCATCAATTTTTACCAATTATTGGATCTTTATCGGAAAGAGAATACCTTCTAAATTGATAATAAACATTTGCATACTAGTGACTAATTACAAAAGGTAGCTTTCCGAGTTATAGTGAGAAAGCTATTATTCGTGGAGTTCAACCATTTTCAGTGTGAGGCAATTACTCACAAATACTATTGGGAACTAGTTATGCAAAATCACGGATTAGTTGTGCCTCATGCTAGGACTGTCAAGTGCTTCCTCACTTTCAATGGCTGTTTAACTAGGATTACTCTGTCATGTATACCATACAATACTTTTCATCTGTCATTAAACTTTGAGTCATTGTTTTTCATGTATCGGTGCCGTCCACAAATCAATTCAACAGGAATCTTTATTATTATTATCAATGGCTTTATTTATTTATTTAAACACATAAACATTGGTACAATGAGGCGCCAAATACTTATGCGCCACATAAGTCATTTGACTTGTGTGAGGACTGGGATACTGCCTGAGTGTCCAAACCGAAGCAGGTGGTTTTCTTAGAGGGTCACACCCTGAGCCTTTGACCTAAACGCCTGACCCACAAGACAGTGGAGCAACGTCAGGAGACGCAGTCCCATGGTAGCCGGTGACCAACGATTGGTTCATACACCATTTGTTCCTCCAGGATACTGAAGCCCATGTACACCATTGGTTTGGGATGAGGGTTTTCCAAATCCGCTAAGTGGATCCTTCGTGTTCACCAACCCTGTTCAAGCGCCGGATACTCGCTTTTCGTCTTCTCAATTTCGTAAACAACACCCCCTTGACGAGAAGGCAGTGAGTAGGGCTTCCCTTTCAGTGGTTGTATGCACATGACCATGTGAGGGCATTTGGAGAGGGAGAGCAAACTCTCCAGACCCTCGACCTTACCAGGGCATTTGGGGGCATTTTTTTCTAAAAGTTAATGGCTTTATTCACTATTATATTTTTGGTCGGATTTATAACTTTCAGCACAAAGTATTTCAACAAGTTTGTTTTGCTAAACATAAAAATCCCGGTAACTGCATGTATATATACATAAATTAAGCAAATCAACTACCTGGAATTAAATGTAGTATTTTCAACAGGATTACAGTATGCACAACTTTTAATTTGAAACGTGTCTTACAATGCAAGTTATTGACTAGGTCAGCTCTAACAACCTGTTCGTCTCATTAGTATGATTGCTAGATAATTTATTGTATTTTTTATATATTTGCTTGTGTGCATGGATGCTGATGTATAGGCGAGGTTCTGAGGAAACATTGCGTTCAGATGTCTAGTCCCTTGCTTTATCAGACCATTTAGCTTTCAATGGAGTTTTTCTCGTACATTCTTTCTTTTACCCTCTCTGATCGTTTTAATTGTGGAGGTGTAATTCGATCTAAACTTATAGAAATAATCTCAGTGGGACAACAAACATTAAGACAGATTTTAAGAATTCAAGTGACAACATAAACGGTGTTTTACAATCAGTCATCTTAAATAATTCCCAGTTTGTCATACGAAACATGTTTTTCAGATTTTGGATATTTTCTGATTAATGCATGTATTTGTCTTTCTTTGTAAGAGTGTACTCTTTCCCAGCTAGCCATCTAATTTAGGTAGAACACGAATAATACAATGATCAGAACTAGACAATGGATCACGTTAACGGGTTGCATATATTGTCGCATCACTATTGATGACTAAGTCTATATGGGCATCCGGACAAGTAGGAAAATCTACTACACTTTGGTAATCCGCTGATAAAAGAAAGCTACAGTCACATAAATTAAAATCACATATAATTGAAAGTGAATCACTGAAGGCAGTAACAGCAAATTGAGTAAATTCATCAGTGAAAACAGATAGCGCAGATGATGCGCAGTCCGAAGTCACGTATATGTTGGTAACATAAACATAATTGTACTTGTTCAGGTGTTTTGGAGGGTATCTTAAAGTTCAACAGTCGATAAAGTCATTTGAGAACTTGAAATATGCAAAACTAGATCGATACCATTCCATATTTACAGATGTAGCTACACCGCCGTCACACCTTTTCTTATTGCTTGATCGATCCTGACAATAAATATTGAAACCTTGTAGAGTGATACTAAACAATCGTCTTGTAAATCACTCAACCAGAATTCTTGAATTGTGATACACATTTAGACCTAGTAGGAATTGAAGATAGTTCATCTTGCCAATTAGTGATCGGCAAGTAAAATTTGGCAGTTCAGGAATCGACATCTTATTAATGTTCATCTTTTTCAATGCATATTGCCAGCCACTACTATGATTGTACTTTTTTGTACCTTGTAAAACGATAGTTCGTAAACTTTTCATATACGTGCCTGAATAGATTATGCAATTAATAGACATAATGATGTGTTAAAGCAAACAAAAATTACTTGTTGAAATATCCAGATGGTAGGTACAGGTAGCCCCGATATTCAAGAACGCCCCCTGATGATATCGTAAGAATTTCTCAATCTTCAATTTATTTTAATAGTTGAAATCATGAGTCAATTGAAGCTAGGCCAACATGGAAAACCTGGAAGCACTGGACGGCCGTTTCGTCCTAGTATGGGACTCCATATCTGATCAATATCTTCAGTATTATACTACCTAGAAATATTTATTGTAAATTATCATCAAGAAATGATTTATTCTTCAAGAATGAATTTTTGTGATTCGCCATATCAAAAACTTTAAACTGCGAAAAAATTGACTATATCTTTCTAAGATCTTATTCTTGGTGGTTAGTCCTCAAGTCGATATCTAATTACTCTTTAAATCTCCACATCTTTCCCGTTATATATATATATATATATATAATTCAGTATTCAATTGTCCTCTCCATTGTCTTGAGTTTGTGGCTAAAACGTGATATTATGTGGAATTGTGAAACTGAATTATCGGTCATTATGTTGATTAAGTCGTTCAGCTAAACTATGTAGTAGTTATGCAATATGTAACAATCATTAACCAAGAATTCAGGGGAACACTTCTAGCTTGCCAGCTATAAATTACTTGTCTGTCAATTATATCTTTTTTTATCACTCATTTCTCTACTCACCATGATGGTCATTGTATTTTTCTTAAATTTCAATCCATTCAAAAGGTTTTTCCTGATGAGTTTCATTTGGCCACCTTACCTCTGTTGTTGCGTACTTGTAATCATTTACAAGCTGGTGTGAAATTGAAACCGATTGTTTGCAGTCTTATCGATCGGTAAGCATTATGCTTTACTAAAATCAAAGTGAAAATCAACTTACTGTCGTTTATATTATCGGTGACCTTGTTGTTATCATAAGCTTTGCTTTTAAAACAACAATATTTTCTTTAGATTTCAAGTTCTAGTGGCTTTTTGTGTAATTTCTATGTAAAACATCGTGTTATTTGATTCTGCATATTTTTTTGTCTTATGTCTAAATTGTTTGTGTTTTCATCCGCATTAATTCGAGTGAAGTGCATAAATCAAAGAGTATTAGACAAGAAAAAACATGGTAGGTCGGACGATTCCAGACAGACCACACTCTGTCTCAAGGCCACATGGTAGATGAGAAATACAAGAGTGTGTATGGTATTGTAAATTATTTGTCTGAACAATTTTACAGCCTTAAATTTCCTTGGGTCAGTAAAGATGCACACATACACCCGTAAGTTATCTACAATTTGGTTCTATTTGGTTCTTAAAGTTTTCTACCCATTTCTTAGTCATATCCCCTTGCATAGCTGGTTACGTCAAGAATTGGACAGTGCATATTATGTTCATCCAGGAGGCATAATACAGCTTCCTGTCAACTCCTTAAAATAATAAATACTTTGAAATTTAATACATGGTCATATTGCAAAGTTAGATCAGCTGATCTCAATTAATACTGATATAAAAGTTTTAATGACCATTTAAGCTTGTTAATATGTGACCCAATAATATAGTCTCTGAAACCCTGATTATCTAATTTGGCTTCGGTCAGTCAAATGTAATTTAGAACCTGGCAAATATGTGAATGTACTTTCAAGTTGCTACACTATATCACCACAGAGAAATGGAATTACCAAGGCAAATGTCGAAGTAGCATAAGTAGTAATAGTAACAGTGTCGGTAGAAATGATTTGAAAAGAAAGCGGGAATTGGTGGGATTAAAAAAGATAATTTTGAAACTCATGATTTAAAAGAAGACGGAGATTTAATACTTCTGGGCTGTCGTGACCGATTCTTGTTCCTGTCACCTGAGGTTCCTGATTGGTTACAATAATCGTTCAGATCGCAACGTACTGATACCGCTCAACCCAACTATCAATGACTTTGTGGATTGAATTCGTGTCTTGATTTGGCTACAGCTAACTGTATTTCAATCCACTCCTACATCAGCAAACATTGTGCATCAAGATTGAAAATGGTTGGACAAATGTAACACATGTCCCAACTACCTAATTAACTGATTTATCATCCTTATCTATTACTCTGAGTCTAACTTCAACATTCCTAACTCAATGATCGCAACATATGAAAGTCATGTTTTAAAGGCATTTTCAATCATATGCTAGTAGCTTAATTTTAGCTTACTTACTTACTTACTTACTTACGCCTGTTACTCCCAATGGAGCATAGGCCGCCGACCAGCATTCTCCAACCCACTCTGTCCTGGGCCTTCTTTTCTAGTTCCATCCAATTCTTGTTCATTTTTCTCATGTCTATCTCCATTTCTCGGCGTAATGTGTTCTTTGGTCTTCCTCTTTTCCTTTGACCTTCAGGATTCCATGTGAGGGCTTGTCTTGTGACGCAGTTGGGTGCTTTCCTCAATGTGTGTCCTATCCACTTCCAGCGCTTCTTCCTGATTTCTTCCTCCACTGGGATCTGGTTTGTTCTCTCCCACAGTACGTTGTTGCTAATAGTGTCCGGCCAATGGATCTGAAGTATTTTGCGTAGACAATTGTTAATAAACACTTGTATTTTCTGGATGATGGCTTTTGTAGTTCTCCAGGTTTCTGCCCCATACAGTAGAACTGTCTTGACATTTGTATTGAAAATCCTGACCTTGGTGTTGGTTGACAGTTGCTTTGAGTTCCAGATGTTGTTCAGTTGTAAATATGCTGCTCTTGCTTTACCGATCCGCGCCTTCACATCTGCATCAGATCCACCCTGTTCATCAATGATGCTGCCCAGATATGTAAAGGTTTTTACATCTTCCAAATCTTCTCCGTCAATTGTGATTGGATCGGTGCATTCTGTGTTGTATCGGAGAATCCTGCTTTTCCCTTTGTGTATATTGAGACCTATTGCTGCTGAGGCTGCTGCCACACTGTTTGTCTTCTCCTGCATTTGTTGTTGCGTTTGGGATAGAAGGGCCAGATCGTCTGCGAAGTCTAGATCATCCAACTGCATCTCAGATGTCCATTGTATCCCGCGCTTTCCTTCAGACGTTGACGTCTTCATGATCCAGTCGATCACCAGGAGAAAGAGAAAGGGTGAGAGTAAGCAACCTTGCCTGACACCGGTCTTCACTTCGAACGACTTTGTCAACTGTCCTCCATGCACGATTTTGCAGTGTAATCCATCATATGAGTTCTGTATGATATTGACTATCTTCTGAGGCACGCCGTAGTGTCGAAGAAGTTTCCATAGTGTTGTTCTGTCCACGCTATCAAACGCCTTTTCGTAGTCAATGAAGTTGATGTAGAGTGATGAATTCCATTCAATTGATTGTTCCACAATGATCCGTAGAGTTGCGATTTGGTCTGTACACGATCTATCCTTACGGAATCCTGCCTGTTGGTCACGAAGTTGTGCGTCTACGCAGTCCTTCATCCTGTTTAACAATACTCTGTTGAAGACTTTTCCCGGTATTGAGAGAAGAGTGATGCCCCTGTAGTTATCACACTTGCTGAGATCGCCTTTCTTCGGTATTTTGATCAGTAGTCCTTCTTTCCAGTCTGTTGGTACTTGTTCCCCATCCCATATCTTATTGAAGAGAATGTGGAGTATCCTTGCAGTTGCCGCTACGTCTGCTTTTAGTGCCTCTGCTGGAATGTTGTCCGGTCCTGCTGCTTTGCCACTCTTGATTTGTCTGATGGCCATGCTGATTTCTTCAATTGTTGGTGGGCCAACATTAATTGGGAGGTCCGTGGGTGCTGCTTCGATGTTGGGTGGGTTCAGTGGGGCTGGTCGATTCAAGAGTTCTTTGAAGTGTTCTACCCACCTGTTTTGTTGCTCTTCAATGTTGGTGATTACCTCGCCTTCCTTGCTTTTCACTGGTCGTTCTGGTTTGCGGCGATTTCCAGAGAGTTTCTTGGTCGTGTCATACAATTGTCTCATGTTTCCTTCTCTTGCAGCCTTTTCCGCCGTCGTTGCTAAATCTTCCACATATTTACGTTTGTCGGTTCTGATGCTCCTCTTCACTTGTTTGTTTATTTCCGTGTATTCAGCTTGTGCCTTGGCTTTTTCTGCTCTTGTTCGGCTGGTATTGATCGCTGCCTTCTTGTTCCTCCTTTCTTGAATCTTGTCCAATGTACCAACAGTGATCCATTCCTTGTGGTGGTGCTTCTTGTGACCCAGGACCTCATGACATGTTGAAGTGATTGCCTCTTTGATCCCCTTCCAGTTGCTCTCCACAGTAGTTCCTTCTCCATTGAGTAGATCATGAAAGGCCTGGAACTTGTTGCTGAGGACTATCTTGAATTTGTTTAGTTTGTTAGTATCCTGGAGAAAGGCCGTATTGAACTTTTGTGATATTGTCCGCCCCATTGTCCAGTGCTTCTTGAGTTTCAATTTCATCTTGGCGACCAGCAAGTGATGATCTGATGCTATATCAGCTCCTCTCTTGGTTCTCACGTCCTCTATAATCCTCCTGAACGTTTTGTTGATGCAAATATGGTCGATTTGGTTTTGTGTAGAGTGATCCGGTGAAGTCCATGTGATTTTGTGTATGCGTTTATGTGGGAATATGGTGCCGCCTATGACCAGCTTATTGAAGGCACATAGGTTTGCAAATCTCTCACCATTTTCGTTTCTTTCTCCAAGTCCGTGTCGTCCCATGATGTCTTCATATCCAGTGTTGTCCGTTCCAACCTTGGCATTGAAATCTCCCATCAGAATGGTCAGGTCCTTTGTTGGGCACTTCTCGACGATTGACTGCAGCCTATTGTAGAATTGATCTTTCGCGTCTTCATTGTAGTCGTTGGTAGGCGCATAGCATTGAATGATGTTCATTGAAATGCCCTCTTTCTTTGTTTTGAACGAGGCTTTGATGATCCTTGGTCCATGAGATTCCCATCCTATAAGTGCATTTTGCGCTTGTTTGGACAGCATCAATGCAACTCCTTGTGTATGTGGTGCATTTTCTTCTTCATGGCCGGAGTATAACAGGAGCTCTCCTGTAGTTAGTCGTTGTTGTCCAACTTGTGTCCAATGTGTTTCACTGATCCCAAGTACCTCTAGGTTGTATCTTCTCATTTCTGCAGCAATCTGGAAGGCTCTTCCGGTGTCCCACATTGTACGAACATTCCATGTACCTAAATAAATGGTCGCTCTGGTTGTCAGAAGGGGCATCGGCCTCATAACTTCCGAAGGGATTCGGCTTTCATCATGAGGCGTCATAATTCTTCTAAATGAAGATCTTCTGACTCCCAGGGCAGAGTTTAAAAGGTTTGAATAATTTTTTCTGGTTAGCGTTTTTTTAGCGAGTTATTTTTCTACGGGATGGGGACGCTAACCCCATGCCCAACCCTCCTCCTTTATCCGGGCTTGGGACCGGCAGTAGCCCCCAGAGGGACTCCAGGCGGAGTTTAATTTTAGCTTAGACATTGAAATATTATTATTTTTATAAAGTAGATATGGCTCAAATCATATAATACATACTATACTGGGTTACACTAACTTATATTATTCACTTATATTGATTTATTATACATTTCACTTAATCGGTTTTGTTATTTTATTTCTTGCTTACTTATTATTAGTTTGTCTAAACATGTAGCTACTGAATTAGAAGCTGGACGTGAATTAAAAATTGAAGTATCATGCAATAATTATTCACCAATTAAAGCAAAACCGTCTTGTAATAATATCAACGGTAATGATGATGATAATAATAATAACGGCAATCATTCTTCTCTACATAATGAAGAAGATATATCTTTATCAACAGTTTATGATGTTCAATTAAAAAACTCTAATCAAAATCAAGAGAACATAATAAAGAATGAAATGAATACTTCTATTAATATTGATGAAACTTCCATGTCAACAAAAACAACAACAACAACTGATCTTTTCTCATTATTCTTCTATGAAGTAAATCAAATTATTCATGCACGTTTAACATTATGTGAATTAACATTGAATAATTTACAATTATCATCGTCATCATCATCATCTAACAATAATAATAATAATAATATGAAAACTCGTCCTACAATACAAACTGTAGCAATAATGAATGGTTTACCATTAGAAGATATTCCAGCATTTTATTCAGTTTTAGTTTATTTAGCTATGATAATTCATCCAAATAATTGTTCTTCCTTAATTGATATTTGTTTAAATGCTACAGCGGATGCATTGAATCATGTTGGTCTAGTTCTGTAAGTTGAAGAAAAAAAAAGACAAAGAGAAACAGTTGGCTTTTTTCTTTAGACTATTTAAACTATTTGAAAAGATGTAATGATGATCGTGTATAACTACTTATACATAGATCAGATTTTAAATTCTATCAGAATTCTATCAAGAAATTTGTTTTGATTTATGTATGAACTGTTTTCTTTTAGAAAGATATATGCTATTCGTAGAATAGATGGATTATAACTAGCAGTAGAATCCATAGTGCATGTTTGACGTGATTGGAACTCGACAGCTTGATGTATGTGTATCCAAGTGTTGATGTACACACTGGTACTCGGTACAAATATTGGTACAAAGGGGCACCGAATATATATGCGCCACACAAGTCACTTGATTTGTGTGTGGGCTGTGATACTACCCGGGTGCCCAGACCGAAGCAAGACTGGTACTCGGACTCTGTACCTTTCGCTTCAAATACCCAGAAATTTATACACTGATCCAGGTAGCCACAAAATGAACATTTATCGACAAACACTGTTCAAAAGTCAGTCAGAAATATGAACAACGGGATATTTCAAACTCTTGATATTCATAATATAAACATCTACTATTAAGTTGATCACTCACTATCATCGCATGATTTTATATCATTACAATTAATATTAACTTTTTGAGACAAGATTCATTTTCAGTTGTAATTAGTACTATGACTAGTGATTTGAAGCTCGCTATGTCTAGTCCCATTAACAACAATTCATTGCTTGTTGTTTCCATGGGCAAGGGATTTAGTGTTTTGTTTTGTTGTCAATGGAACATCAATGAAATACTACTTACTTTCACCAGTAACAAATTCATGCAAGTGACTGATCAAAAAATTTCATTTTTCATTATTTTTTTTAGTAAGATGATAATGATTAGTTGGTTCATTTCAAGGACATATCGACAGCTACGCAGAACCATAAATTTTAAAACACACTAAACATGATAAGGTCAAACAGTTAATACTTTATATAGAAGAGGTTTGATTAGAATCGTGCTTTATGATTAATTATATGTATACGTAACTACTGAATTTGAATGTTGTTCAGTGATGTTTAAGTTTCATGCCATTTATAACAGCTCTGATAAAAATATGATTTTATCAGTCATTCATCAATAGCTTTTATTTTTGTTAAGTAGTTGATGATAATCGATAGCCAATACCGTAGATATAGATTTCGAAATGGTTGGTATTCACCAATAAAATTTGTTCCCAATCTTAAGTGATCTAATATCCCTCGTAGAATTCAAGTTTGTGTATGTCGATCATGGTTAGAGACGTTACCATCAAATTGTCGAGGCAGAGACTTTCCTCTTGTAGGATTGGAATGTTTACATGTTTGTATTATGAAGACTGCCAAAAAGATATATTCAGTTTGTAGGTCTAATTTAAAATGAAGTATCGAAAACCCCTCTAAACCGCAATTCCATAATTTAACACAGTAGTGTTGATTTACACCCCTTCCTGTTGAATGTCTCTATGAGTTCTGAAATCCAATGTACTAGGATGTATCCAAATGTTTTTCAACCAACATTGTCCTATGTTTTTCCGCTTTTGAAAATTGTATTACTAATCATAATATTAATTCAGAAAACATAATCTAAGTAAATATATATGTTTCTATTTACAGAATACCTTCAGGATCTTCATTATCACGTGATTTACTTCGCCTCCTGTATCTACCATTAGATGGTACATTTCCCCAATCAATGAGTGGTGCTCATCGTATAAGTGCTCCTATATCATCACTTAGCGATTTACGCACAGTGCTAGGAATGTCCGGATTTCGACGTTTAGTTTCATTATTAGATCCAAAAACTACTAAATGTCGATTAGCTTATGATCTATTGAATGCTGCTTTAGAACGTGATCAACGTCAGCGTCAAGTGTTACAATTTACTCAAAATAATTATAAACATGATATAAATAAAGATTCATCATCGTCATGTGCTCATTTATCATCACGTTTGACTACTGAAGCAGATCTAGATAATTTATTTGAATTAATTGATGGATTGTTAACAACTGATCCTAATGCATGTGAAGATCCAAATGAATTTATTGATGCACAAAGTTTAATAGCTGGTATGCTACATATTCTAGGACCAAGTCCTAAAAGTCTAGATCCAGATATATGTTTCAAATTGTTTACAAAAGCTCAATTACGTTTAGAACAAGCTGGACACGCAATTGTTCGTTTTAATTTTCCTGCACTTGTTTTTCAAGTAAGATGAGTTCATATTCACGTTTATGGAATTTTTCTTTGAATTATTACTATTATTATCACTTGGTGGGTGAAAATTAATTTTTTATACGTAGAAAATTGGCAACACTATAAAATCATTAACAGTTTGATTTGTATTAGATGGAGAAATGTCGAATATCCTAGCTGTACTAGCTGTTAGATATTAGAAAGTGATAATTGATGATGTTCCATGGCATGATTTCATTCCATTCATTATCTTCCAAATCATATTTTAATGTGTATTTTATTCTCTCAATATGTTAATGTTTAGAAGTGAGTTGAATGCAAATATTTCACAATTTGTTTCCATGAAGGTATTGGCCACATTCATTTTATTAGATTCACTAGCCTAAAGTGATCGAGGTCGACTATAGTCAGTAGATTATTTTGACTTTTTCAGAATATTTCTATTAATGATTATGCTCAAATAATAAATGATTTTACACTAGATAATTATTAGCTTAGATTATGGCTTATTTAAAATGAGAAACTCAGTAGTAACAGTCGACTGTCAAAACAGGCAAGGATAAAATTTACCCATACTTTATGGCAACTTGAACTGATGTACGTACTTACGAAGTTCTACGTTGTTACTGAATGACTGACCCATACAGTATAATTGAACATTTATAAAGTGTACCAACTAATGAGTGAACAGTTAGTTTACGAACAACTTATAAAATACAAGAAAGGAAATCATAAAATATGGCTTGGACACGTGTTACGTATGCATAACCACCGACTGCTCCGACGTGCGATGTTTTATGGTGTAGAAGTAGGTTGGAAGAAAGCTAGGGGCGGCCAGAACAAAACATGGCACAAATCCATGAAGTCAATGACAAGTGAACTGAGTCATGTTGGTAGGTGTAGACTACCTGGTTGGGATCTGCGAGGTGATAGCAACCGATGGTTAGAGACCTTGAATGACGTGGCTCAAAATCGTTTGCAATGGTGCTAGTGCATCAACTCTTTGTGTTCTACAGAATTCTAATCTTCTGAATTCTTCATGTCCCTTTCGTTTTTTCTCTTTCCAAATTTATTTCACTGGATTATACTCGTTGAATAACATCTTCAAACCCTAATCTTTCCGATTACTGCTTATACTTTACTACCTCTACCACTGCGGGATTTGAATCGACAATTGTATCTGTGTGCTAATGTGATGTGGCAACTTGAACTGATGTACTGACTGATAATATATTAACTAATTGCTCACGTATAATACAATTATAATAAATTAATCGTTCATTCTGCAGAATTAGTTTCCATTATTAAATTCTTTATATGTTGATTAATTTATTTGAAACTGTAACCCTCAAATGAGCAGAAAAACACTATCGATATCCAAACTTTTGGTGTTTATTTAATCTACTTACCCGCAATATCTAACGGTCGCAAAGTGACTTAGAAATTTTGAGTGATTTTAAAAAAAACATCAGGCTTTTTTGTGTTACTAGCTATTACGTAAATGGTAATCTTTATTATAGGCAAACACACTGTGCGAATTTCCAGTTTCCCTAGGTTGTTTAACGTACTATTGTTTACGGTATAATCCCATCTATTAGCAAACATTTCAAATAAAATCTCTCTACTTTTTATAAGTTAACAATTGTGTTTTGAATTTGTTTATATTCGAAACAAACGAACTATGCCCCTCTTCATACAAGAGATATACCCTGTCAATTACTCTACTTTCCATTGTTGAATCAAACTGGAAAATAGTTTGTTTTCTATTAGTATATGTTAAACACCGAAATACATTGGACACAAGTTGGACAACAACGACTAACTACAGGAGAGCTCCTGTTATACTCCGGCCATGAAGAAGAAAATGCCCCACATACACAAGGAGTTGCATTGATGCTGTCCAAACAAGCGCAAAATGCACTTATAGTATGGGAATCTCATGGACCAAGGATCATCAAAGCCTCGTTCAAAACAAAGAAAGAGGGCATTTCAATGAACATCATCCAATGCTATGCGCCTACCAACGACTACAATGAAGACGCTAAAGATCAATTCTACAATAGGCTGCAGTCAATCATCGAGAAGTGCCCAACAAAGGACCTGACCATTCTGATGGGAGATTTCAACGCCAAGGTTGGAACGGACAACACTGGATATGAAGACATCATGGGACGACACGGACTTGGAGAACGAAACGAAAATGGTGAGAGATTTGCAAATCTATGTGCCTTCAATAAGCTGGTCATAGGCGGCACCATATTCCCACATAAACGCATACACAAAACCACATGGACTTCACAGGATCACACCACGCAAAACCAAATCGACCATATTTGCATCAACAAAACGTTCAGGAGGACTATAGAGGACGTGAGAACCAAGAGAGGAGCTGATATAGCATCAGATCATCACTTGCTGGTCGCCAAGATGAAATTGAAACTCAAGAAGCACTGGACAATGGGGCGGACAATATCACAAAAGTTCAATACGGCCTTTCTCCAGGATACTAACAAACTCAACAAATTCAAGATAGACCTCAGCAACAAGTTCCAGGCCTTTCATGATCTACTCAATGGAGAAGGAACTACTGTGGAGAGCAACTGGAAGGGGATCAAAGAGGCAATCACTTCAACATGTCATGAGGTCCTGGGTCACAAGAATCACCATCACAAGGAATGGATCACTGTTGATACACTGGATAAGATTCAAGAAAGGAGGAACAAGAAGGCAGCAATCAATACCAGTCGAACAAGAGCAGAAAAAGCCGAGGCACAAGCTGAATACACAGAAGTTAACAAACAAGTGAAGAGGAGCATCAGAACCGACAAACGTAAATATGTGGAAGATTTAGCAACGACGGCGGAAAAGGCTGCAAGAGAAGGAAACATGAGACAATTGTATGACACGACAAAGAAACTCTCTGGAAATCGCCGCAAAGCAGAACGACCAGTGAAAAGCAAGGAAGGCGAGGTAATCACCAACATTGAAGAGCAACAAAACAGGTGGGTAGAACACTTCAAAGAACTGTTGAATCGACCAGCTCCACTGAACCCACCCAACATCGAAGCAGCACCCACGGACCTCCCAATCAATGTTGGCCCACCAACAATTGAAGAAATCAGCATGGCCATCAGACAAATCAAGAGTGGCAAAGCAGCAGGACCGGACAACATTCCAGCAGAGGCACTAAAAGCAGACGTAGCGGTAACTGCAAGGATACTCCACATTCTCTTCAATAAGATTTGGGATGAGGAACAAGTACCAAAAGACCGGAAAGAATGACTCCTGATCAAAATACCAAAGAAAAGCGATCTCAGCAAGTGTGATAACTACAGGGGCATCACTCTTCTCTCAATACCGGGAAAAGTCTTCAACAGGGTATTGTTAAACAGGATGAAGGACTGCGTAGACGCCCAACTTCGTGACCAACAGGCAGGATTCTGTAAGGATAGATCGTGTACAGACCAAATCGCAACTCTACGGATAATTGTGGAACAATCAATTGAATGGAATTCATCACTCTACATCAACTTCATTGACTACGAAAAGGCGTTTGATAGCGTGGACAGAACAACACTATGGAAACTTCTTCGACACTACGGCGTGCCTCAGATGATAGTCAATATCATACAGAACTCATATGATGGATTACACTGCAAAATTGTGCATGGAGGACAGTTGACAAAGTCGTTCGAAGTGAAGACCGGTGTTAGGCAAGGTTGCTTACTCTCACCCTTTCTCTTTCTCCTGGTTATCGACTGGATCATGAAGACATCAACGTCTGAAGGGAAGCACGGGATACAATGGACATCTAGGATGCAGTTAGACGATCTAGACTTCGCAGATGATCTGGCCTTTCTATCCCAAACGCAACAACAAATGCAGGAGAAAACGACCAGTGTGTCAGCAGCCTCAGCAGCAGTAGGTCTCAACATACACAAAGGGAAAAGCAAGGTTCTCCGATACAACACAGCATGCACCAATTCAATCACAATTGACGGGGAGGCTTTGGAAGATGTAAAAACCTTTGCATATCTGGGCAGCATCATTGATGAACATGGTGGATCTGATGCAGATGTGAAGGCGCGGATCGGTAAAGCAAGAGCAGCATATTTACAACTGAACAACATCTGGAACTCAAAGCAACTGTCAACCAACACCAAGGTCAGGATTTTCAATACAAATGTCAAGACAGTTCTACTGTATGGGGCAGAAACCTGGAGAACTACGAAAGCCATCATCCAGAAAATACAGGCGTTTATTAACAATTGTCTACGCAAAATACTTCAGATCCACTGGCCGGACACTATTAGCAACAACGTACTGTGGGAGAGAACAAACCAGATCCCAGTGGAGGAAGAAATCAGGAAGAAGCGCTGGAAGTGGATAGGACACACATTGAGGAGAGCACCCAACTGCGTCACAAGACAAGCCCTCACATGGAATCCACAAGGCCAAAGGAAAAGAGGAAGATGAGAGAACACATTACGCCGAGAAATGGAGATATACATGAGAAAAATGAACAAGATTTGGATGGAACTAGAAAAGAAGGCCCAGGACAGAGTGGGTTGGAGAATGCTGGTCAGCGGCCTATGCTCCATTGGGAGTAACAGGCGTAAGTAAGTAAGTACGTAATGTTAAACACCGCGTTGAACATTTTAAAGGTTTCAGTTGTAATATTAAAAATACTTGACTATTTCTAAAATCTAAAACGAACAAAATATTTTCTTACTTATCCAAAGTTTATTAAAAGAATTCAGAATGACAAACTAATCGAAACAGAATTGTGGAGTAAGCATTCTTGGTGAACATAACATAAGTAAACTTCATAAGGCAACAGCCAATGATTATTCATTGGGACTGCATCTCTTTACGATGCTCCACTGCTTTGTGGATCAGATCTTCATGTCGAAGGCTCTGGGTGTGGCCCCCTAAGAAAACTACCTGTTTCGGTTTGAGCACCCGGGCAGTATTACAGCCTTCACACATATCAAATGAAATTTGTGTGGCGTATATGTATCTGGTGCCTCCTTCCACCAGTATTTATGTGTTCAAATACATAAATAAATAAGATTATTCATTATTTCTTCCTTCTGTAACCATAATCAAAATTTTCTATTTTAATAAAATGTTCATTAATGTTTTTGTTTGTTAGAGTCTTCAATTAATACAAACCTATTATGAATTACGTAATCAAAATTCTAATTGGGAAGATAGTGTTACAAATGTAGTGAGATTTTGTCATCGTTGTTGTACATGTTTAGTAGCAGCTGATGCATCTGAATCAGCCTTACGATTATTTTTATACTCAGCACTGGTAATTGATAAAATACAATTTACCAATCAAGAATCAATGATATATGAGTTTATTTCACAAGTGAGTATTGTTTCTTTTGTATATGTGTACGTTGTTTTTTTTCCACTCAGTTCGATTGTTATATGATTTTAATAAATGAAACTTGTTAAGCAGGTAGGTACAGACAAGAAGCTGTATCTATCGATCAAAGTCTAATGATGATAATACAATCTAGTTCTTTACTTTAACTGTCAATAGACAATATTAGATTCGAATGGGTATGACTTTCAGGTTATATATATAATCTTTAGTAAGGGTTTGAACAATTTAGTAGATATCTAGACTCAGTAGCTCAGTAGATACCGTGTTAACGTAAATAGAGCGTACTGGTTTTGAGCTTCAGCATGAGTATCAACAGTGGGATACAGGTACACCCAGCTGACTATCTTCACTAAGGAATCAAATCACTACCAGAATTTCGATTCTATTTAAATTTTTACCATCAAGTGGTTCCTATATAGAGTTAGATCAACTTACTGTGCTATTCCTAAGTTTCTGTATGTTTATTATTAATATTTAAAACATGTAGCTACTTAGTTTATGGTTAATTCATTAAAAGATAAAACACTAAACAAGTTAGTAAACATCCTTTCTAAATTATTCGTTTTTTTATTTATATACGGAAGTTAAAGTTTTATAAAATGATACTTGTTGACTAGGCCCCGCGTAGAGTTATGTACAGACTACTTGGTTTGGTTCTGCATGATTATCATAATCAGTGGTTGGAGAGGCTGGGTGACATCTCGGAATCGGTCACAACAGCCCAAATTCATTCCTAAATCATTTTGTATATGCATAGTCTTCCCTACAACTATTGATTCTGTTATTACTTTTACAACTCTCTCATTTAGCTTGATAATTTCATTTCACTCGGTTGATGTAGTGTGGGAATTTAAACACATTTATACTTATGCTAGGTGTCCACCTATATTATGACTGACAGATTCTGTTGAATACATATTTAATAATTCGGCTAATCATCTTTCAAGGAGTATGTCATGGGTGCAAACTATATATTAATAACTGAAGTTTCAGAAACTGAACGGTATCATTAATCTGTAACTATAAGCTTGACGGAATTCAATGTATATCTTATATTAATTACTTTAAATGTAGTTTACATGATGGACTGGCTTCAGCTAAGAAAATAATTAAGGGATACTGTACATCTGTTTCTTCCTATTTTGTGACTCTTCAACAGTGTACACTCACACATCGAAATCAAAATTTTCCGGCCTTCAAATAGGTATATTTTACTTTTGGACTATTGTACTGACATCTAATGGCAACCATTTCCGATTGCAGTCAATTGGCTATATGACGCCACTGGTAATGACTTGTCTAATGCCCAATATAGTTAAACTGACTATCAATCACATGGTGTCTGAATAAGGTATTAGTGATTATCAGAAGGGGTTTTGTGGAGATTTTTAGAAATTTGAATAGTTGAAATCATGAGTCAATTGGAGCTAGATCACCATGGAAAACCTGGTAGCACTAAGCGGCCGTTTCGTTCTAGTATGGGACTACAACAGTGCGCATCCATGATCCCACCCCCTGCGAGATTCGAACCCAGGACCTATCAGTCTGGCGCGCGAGCGCTTAACCACTAGAGCACTGAGCCGGCCGGCATCCAACGGTGTTAAGGTCTAACTTCAACCAATCCACGAAATTGCGCCACCATACACCATTGTTTTCAGTGAGCTGACATCTCACAACAGACCCGGTTGAACTCCTCCAGTAACGGCTTCTCACTAAAACTCCAAGAAATGCCTCTTGAAGTCAGTCATTAGTGAGCAGATGATTATAATCAGAAGGGGTTTTTTGGAGATCTTAAAAATTTTACTAGTTGAAATCATGAGTCAATTGAAGTTAGACCACCAGGGAAAATCTGGTCCTGGGTTCGAATCTCACAGGTGGCGGGATCTTGGATGCGCACTGCTGAGGAGTCTCATCCTCGGACGAAATAGTCATCCAATGTTTGGGGGTTTTCAGTGATGGTTTAGCTTTGATTGACTCTTGAATTCAACTGTTAACATGTTTTTGTATATAATATCCATGAATGTCATTTAGTTCACTAGTAAATAATAAATTTACCTACTTTTCATATTTATACAAATGAATCATAATTCTCAAGGAATGCAAATCACTTACTTTTCAATCAAATTCAATTCTTTATCTAATTTGTTTTCTATTGTTTTTCTATATTTAATTTTTAGGCGCTTACACTTTACGAAGAAGCTGTTTCAGATTCTCATGCACAAGTTGAAGCAATTGCATTAATTACTAGTACTTTATATCAAATTAATTGTTTCACTGGTGATAATCAATCTACATTACGTACTCAATGTACACGAGCTGCAGCACGTCTACTACGTAAACATGATCAATGTCGAGCAGTTTGTGCAAGTACACATTTATATTGGCCAACTAAACCATTACTTAGGAAAGGAATTAAGCCAAGTCTACTTATCCCTGTGACAGATAATAATCCTGAAATTTCAACTTATGCAAAATTATCTGAAACGGAAGAATTATCAGATGAATATTACAATAAAGTAATGGGATAAAATAATTAATTTTTTATTTGTATTTCATGTTTTACATCTTATTAATATTAACATGAACGTTCAATGATTGATTTCAATCTCTAGCGTAGCCATTAGTTTGATATTGTAGTCGAGATTGGGTATCGTAATGCGTGAATCGAGTTACATTGTTCGGAACAGCCGTCAATAAAGGTCCTACCATACAATTAGGTCGGTTAGAGAATGGTAAGACCAAAAGGAGAAAATCAAGGAGCGGTGGTGTATTCTCACTCTTAACTGCACTAGGGTATTTCCTTTAGAAAATGTGTATCTACCTTCTCACAGTGAGAAGAGTTCGAAGAAATCTTACTTAACCTCACTGGTTTCCGTAGCCGACAGTAAGACTTTTAATGTTCTGAGCTAGTGCGCCAAGAAATATTATCAAAAAGCCTGTTCATAACCAGCATCGAGCAGTTGTCCGTTGTGCTCTGTAGTTACTTTATCAAATTACGAAGATCACAATTAATAACCAAGTTATAGTTTCAGGTATTTCAAGAAGAAGAACCTTTTTAAGATATGGGCGACCAGTAAGTGATGGCCACTCACAAATCCTTTAACAACAATCGAATGATTCCAAACGCATTTTATTTCTATTCCAGTAATTACTATATGCTGTTTAGTTGTGAGGTAACATATATTGTACTGCATCTTCAATTACTTTTAACTTGATTTGAGTACATTGGTACATACGATGCTTGACGATTAGTCTTGTCAGTTCAACAAGTGATATGTATATTTACAGAAATCACGCATGAAATTTCCAAAAAATAACTGGCTAGTTGACTCGAAATGAATATTAACACTTTAATCTTGTATACAAGTTTCATAGATGTATCATACCGCATTATTATACAATTTCAGACCTGTAAAGCTTACTGTTCAATTTAATTTAGTCGTTGTATTTGTTGTTTACAAGAAATTATTTGGGATAATAGATTCCCAGAAATCACCTAGTGAACTTCGTTTTTCTGTAATTTAATTGTAAAAAGTTGAATTTTTCATTTCCGTCTCAATAGCTCCCTTTATTGGCTTCAGTTTGTGTTGCTCACCTGAAAGGACCTTCAACGTCATTGATTCGTTCTCCTGGGCTGGTTATGGAATTATTTATTTTCCTGGTTGAATCTTAACTTCTTATAGTAAACAGGGCTCGGACACAGAGTAATAGTTTAGCTTATCTTTTTGTTCAGTTGTTAACTTTTGTTCTGTCCACAGTCCAAAGTGATATATTAATCCCTCGAATATATCAGAAATACATGCGAATGCACATATAATAACAACATAAAGACAGATTATACGACAAAGGGAAATGTTGGCGATAAATGAATCTATTTATCAATGAGGCAAATTGCATATATGCTTAATAATTACATTACTAATAGAACTTATATCATCAGAATGGGTTTTGTGGAGATTTTTAGAAATTTCACAAATTGAAATCATGAGCCAATTGAAGCTAGACCACCATGGAAAACCTGGAAGCACTGGACGGCCGTTTCGTCCTAGTATGGAGAAGTCGTTACCAGTGGAGTTCAACCAGGTCTGTTGTGAGATAGGAACTCACTGAAGACAATGGTGTACGGTGGCGCAACTTCGTGGATTGGTTGAAGTTAGACATTAGCACCGTCGGATGCCGGCTCAGTGGTCTAATGGTTAAGTGCTTGCGCGCGAAGCCAGTAGGTCTTGGGTTCAAATCCCGCGGGGGGCAGATTCGTGGATGCGCACTGCTGTAGTCCCATACTAGGACGAAACGGCCGTCCAGTGCTTCCAGGTTTTCTATGGTGGTCTCACTTCAATTGACTCATGATCTCAATTATTGAAATATTCATTTTTATTTAAATTATTATATCATATATGTAGTAACTATAGATTGGTTACCGTTTTTTCTCTCATTTTTTTAAATTTTTAGTTACGTGATCCAAAAGGTGTGATTTCATGCTTAGATCGAGCGGCTAGATTTGCCAAAGAATGTATGGATAGTGCTGTTCGTGCACAATTATTTATTGATATTCTTAATCTATCTGTTAATCTTCGTTTATCCGGTTGTGAACAAGTAAATATGATTTTATTATTGTTATCTTGTATTTTTATTTCGCGCCTCCTATTTTTGCTACAGATTAATATTAATGTGATAATATTTTGTTTGCAAACTATTCAAGAGGAGTAAATCACATTGATTTCTTAACCAATACTTGAACATTATCGCTTTAACCATTATATATACATTTTTGACCAGTGTTTACTTGACCATTACATTTTCAATCAGCTACAACATAGGACCAGGCACATATATACATCAGTTCAAGTTGCCATACCTCATTAGCACAACATGATGAATATCGGATTCATAAAAGTAGTTAATTCAGTGGTGGTAATATATAATAGAAAGATTGTGTATAAGGATGTAGTACAGGAAGAAAGAATTAGTTGATAGAAAGAAAGATATGAAGTGATTTTAATCTCATAGTTTAAAGGAAGACAGAGAGTGTATATGCCATTACTATCCACGAACATAAAAGAACCAATATAGGAAGGATTATAGCTAGATGTTAAGAAACAAAAGCATTTTAAGATTTTAGTGCGATTATTTTCATTATTTTGGAATTACTCTATGCTTAGCGAACAAAACTGGTCACCTGTCAGTCTATTTTTATAAGTCTTGTCGATCATAGTATTTATTCGACTGCTTTCTTTAAAAATGAAAGTAATTACTCTAGTACTATCGCTTCTGACAATTTCAAATCTCTACGTAAATTTGAAAATGAGTTATCTATCAGAATGTATTCTACGCTACCTTGTATATACCCAACAAATGATTCTCCACAACTAATTATTAAAATATAATGGGTAATGTGTTGGTCAAAGTGTACCGTGATCAACTCAGGAACGAAGACAGACATATCCAGCTTTATTATGCATGTGAATTTGACTCCACTCTAAATTCACTTACTGACTGACTGCTCGTAGCTTAGTGTTCATAAACTATTATTTGACTTAATTCGATCCTCGAATTGTCGAATGATCGTGTCGATCCGAGTATCACGTAACCCACTATCATAGTCTAGTGATCTATTGAGTTTATTGTTGAAGTATCCAGTCTAATATCTAGTGTGTTATCAAGTAACCCACTATCGAATGCAAGGCTACGATGAATCAAGCTCACTTCCGTTATACCAATGGGATCGAGAATATCTTTAATGTTTTCCAATTTTTCGTTCTTTGCTTTCAAATTGTCAGGAGTTAATTTCTTGTCAAAATTCATACTCATTTATAGTGGATGATGTTTTGAAGCATATCGTTGTACAGCGTTAAAACTGAAAGTAGCAACTTATGGTAATCCATTTGACTCCAATGAAATATAGGTCACTGGTTCAATCTTATATATTCTTAATCATGTCTTATTGACCAACGGAATAATAAAAATTGGATACGAAATGCCATTGAAACAGTACATTTCCTGATAAACCATGAGGGGGCAAACATGTGTAATATGAATATTGGTCTGGGCCAAAGTTGTACGCCTGACGCAGCAGTAAGGTGTTTTCCACAGACAACTAGTATACTGCAGCCGTTCTATGACGGGACAAGGCTAAAAACGACCGAGTACGGCGCATATATATTTGGTGCCCCCTTGTACTAATATTTATGTGTTCAAATAAATTTTTTTTTAAAAGAAGACCTACCTTGAAAATGATACTTCATCTTGTTCTAGATTCCCGTCACCGAGTCCTTAAAGGGACAGAGCTAACGTATCTAGAACCTTCACAAAGTAAACTGTTTGTCAATGGCCTGAAAAAATTTGTTCCTTAAACCACGCTTCCAAGTCGTTAGGACCTACTCCCAACACAGAATCATTTTAGGTACTTCGTGTAGTAGTATAGGCAGCTGATAAATGATATCCGCCCTCATACTTCTGACAGAGCTCGAGATCAGCTTATTCATGGTGCTCAAATGCATATTTTGACTGAATAATAAATGCACTGATGAATCACTTAGTGAACCAACTATCATCATTAAAGATGGTTCCTATTTTCATTTGATTATTACCGGTCAGTCTTGTTTATCTTCCTGTTACAATTGTTTTATATTATTCTATTTATACTTTTCACTTACAAATACATTTTCGCCATGTTCTGTTTTGTCTTTTTTTTTTCTTTACAGATAACTGATGACCGAATAAATGATATCATTAGTGAGATTAGAAATTTACTGAACAGTTTGGAACCATCTCCTGTCACTGATCATATAACAGTACATTTTAAGAATACTTTAAATTATATACGATATGAACAACAACAACAGACTACTACTGCTGTCAGTGATTCAGTCAGCATCAGTGTTGATACTGATCCCGATGTTCAGTCATTAAGTAGCAAACTATTTGAATCTGTTCAATTATAATGACAGAATGGTTCTGTTTACTATTATTAATATTCTTATTACATAATGTGTAATAATTTAGTTCAGAAAAATAACTGACATTTCTTTCTTTTGAAAAATACAACTATTGACTACTAGTCTCACAGGATCTTGTGTTTCTATATGTTTTGTGGGTGTATTTTCATTCCGAGTGATTTAACAGAGAGAAAACGATGCCAAACGGTGATCTTACAAATCATTTCAATTCATCTGCTTAATTTATTTGTTTTTTATATATATCACATAAATTCGTCTTCCTTTGGGGACCTTCATACTTTGTCTGTCAGATATATACATGGTGTATACAGATACACATAAATAACCCCGTCATGTATGATTGGTGATTTATAGTTGTCCAAAACCTGCATTTTGATTTCTCTCAATTTTATTAATTATGTAACTTTCATTTATTGTGACAAAGAAATTGTGTTGCTATGCTAAACTTTCTTGACAAATGTTGTCTTTCGTGTAGACATTTAATATTGTACCACATTAAATGAATATTATCTCTCAAGCTTCCTTCCTTTCCAAAGAATCATTTATGTCTGTCTCTGTTTGCAAAACTAGTTTTATGACTGTCCATTCCTATTAAATATGCTGATCTTTACTTCACTAGTCATATAAAAAGATGATTTCATTTTTTTTTCTTAATTTGATTTAACACTACTTACGATTCGAATACATGTTAGTTTCTGAGTAGATTCATTTGATTTTTTTCATTAAAAATAACTGATCTTAGTAATGTTATTACATTGGTCATTATTGTGTTACTGAACTGTTTCATATTTTTAAGTAATGTGCTTAGGGGTATGTCTTACCGTGTTCCGATTTCCCCTTTGCAATTAAGCTATAGCGTAAAATAATAGAAACAACGTTATATTTCTTTAAGACACTGATATGATGTGAATTGATTCGGTTACCTGCTTGATATGAATATGATTAGTCGACTAACTTTTATGGGAGCATTCAACTAACAAATCAATCAAATCGCTTCCACAAAAAAACAAACTCAAAGAGATATTGTAAATCTTGATTCGTTACGTTTAGAGACAAAAAATAAATCCAAAGTTTTCTTCGGTGAGTTATTCGATGCTCACGTATTTGTAGGATGGAGCTTTGTACTATGAACACTCAATTTAGCTTAGATGTACTATCATCAACTTCATAGAATAGTATTATGTCCTGTGGCAAATATTGAGAATTGCGCAACTTTTCTAAGACAATCTTAATTTTGAAGTGCATGCTTGATTAATGCATTAAATATGTTATTACAATTTGTAAGCAGTTAAATCATCGGTTTAAAAAAATGAACCTGGCGATAATCAGTTGTGATATGGCGAATAATAACTTAATCAGTCAGGGTGCAAATGACATATGAAATTGATTTCTTTTCAGTTTTATGTGACATTCACAACTTAAGAAGGATTATAGATGCTTAACTATATAATATGCCAAATGTATGTTCACACCCAACCGTTGCTGCCACCTTGAAGTGGTGTCGTGCTTGCCTATCGTGATGAACCATCCGGGCTATACTGGCTGTAATAGGCGTTCTTCAAAGTCCTATCATGCCAGGTAGGTCTGTTGAAGACCGGTAAGACTAAAAGCAGCAAACCCAGGGTTCGAAGTCGTACTGCTGACTGTACAGAAGTGTGACGGCAGTAAGATGTTTTCTTCAGATAACCAGCATAACAGCGATTCTGTCTTCCCACAAGGAGGGGTGGGGTTAGAAAAGGTCGATCCTAAAAATACACATCTCGCCTTATCCCACGGATATCCATCTTCGGCGGTAATGTCTTAACAAGTACGGAGCTAACACAGAAATTACTCACAAAAAGGTCGTGTGTGACCGGCCTCAAGCAGTTGTCTCTTGGGAACTGCGGTCACTAAGACCAACTCTAACCTGATTTCCTCTTCAGGTACCTCTAGAAGAACCTTTCCACGGTGTGGGAGACTGCAAAGTGATAACCGCCCTCATACCTCTAACAGCACTCAAGACTGACGTTTTAATCCTATTTAGCGTGTACACCAGTAACATTATTATGAAGCATTGTTTATGTTAAAAGAGTAAACAGTTAATAATCTCACATATACAGTATTTATTTACTATTATGTATAGATAAAACCCTGAGGAAATTAATTAATTACAATATAAAAATAACAATAATTTTATGTCAGTTTGTGTGTGTTACATAAATCAGATGATTGATCTAGGAATAGGCATGAAAATACATCATTGAAAAAGTTCGAATGATAAAGACATGCTCTTTCACAATCTGGTGAAAAATTCACTTCACATACTACAGGATATATATCTTTTTGATTAGATCCATTTGAACGCCATTCCAATAGTATATCAACAGCATATAATGCTCGAGATTGGACATTATGAGTTAGACCACGTGGTGGTGGATATTTTGTGGCTGCTTGAAAAATTTCAACTAGAAGTCGATGTATTTTTAGCTATGTGAAAATTAATTTTAAAAAAAGAAAAAGAAACATTTCATAAATTAGGTTGCTTAAAAATAATAGTCAAAATAAGCAAAGATGGATAGTGGCTAGCAGTGGGATCCAGGACGAGCGTTTCGTTTTATTTGAGATTCGTCAGATGAGTGTGCCCGCATCTGTGAGCTGATGTTCACTCTGGGACTCGAAGTCAGTACCGATCGCTTCAGACGCCATCGCGTTATCCACTTAGCTACTGAGTGCTGATAGCCACTTGCTTGTGCAATGGGATAAAGTTATATTCAGTTGGTGTTGTTTACTTGTATCTTCCCATCGTTATTTAGGACTGCAATTGATCAGTCTCTTGTTGAACATCAACTCTGGGATGCAGATACATCCAGCTGACGAGTCCCAAATGGGACGAAACGCACGTCCTGGATTCCACTGCTAGCCACCATCCATCTTTGCTTATAAATCTCGTGACTTCAGGCAATATCGAGGCAGTCCGCACAGGATGAACATGCCAACAAGGGGCTGATCAATTGCAGTCCTAAATAACAATGGGAAGATACAAGTAAACAACACCAAGTTAATATTCAACATGTTTGAGATTGTAATATATAATTAAAATATTCATAACAAATAGAATTATCTATTAAGAGTTTTCTTGACTATTAATTAAATATTCAACAGCCTCTATAACCCCATGCTGATAATTATCATATGCTCACTAGTGGCTAGTTTCGAGAGGGAACTTTCAGAGTTCTAGTGAGATGCTGTAACCAGTAGAGCTAATTCGCATCGAGTGTAAGACATTTCGAGACATGAATGACATCGTTAACACATAATTAGTATCCCCACAATCAAATTTAGTTAGTGAATATTTGTCAAACTAGAAAAAAACACATTAATGTTGACTTGAACATATAAGTTTAAACCGAAGAGACATTTTCAAAATTACTATTCAACTAATTGACTTATCATAGTTTATATTACTGGTAGATCTTAGTTGGATAGCTACTGAAAACTAGAGTGTTGAACAGCTGTTTCATCCGAGTATACTAATGGGTGACAGTTCAATTGTTTAAAGGTTAACGGCATATAGTGAGACCTATAAGTCTTAGGTCACAGATGCGCACTGTTGAGGATTCCCATGCTAAGACGAAGCAGATATCTGGTGTTTATTAGTTTTCAGTGGTTTTTTAAACGAATATCAGTGAGTGATGTAAACTATGAAGTTCAACGATCTCCACAAGTCTCTTACACTGATAATAATTTCAAAGTAATTGCCATCACTAAGTTATATCAGTTGAAGAATAATTGAAAATGAGAGAACATTGGACAGTATTGTAGTAATTAAAATAGATGTAGGGGGATATTGAAAGATTGAATTATAGGTCCGAAATGGTAGTAGTATACCACTTTGGGTTAATACGGTGAAAGGTTTAAAAAGTTGGTTTCATTTTTTAAATACACTCTAGAATTGTTTATCTTTGTTCATAAAGTTGTCTGTTGCCTGTGTAGATTAGCTGATAGGATATAGACAGTAATTAATAACTACAGAATGATAATGGTTCCTTTTAATAGAAATACAAGTTACAAAACAGAATTACTAAGATACACAGTACTAATAGGAAAGTTTACAATACCTCAATTGTTGACCATTTGTGATCTGGATATTGTTTATCGAACAATTCAACAAATTCATCGCAATGTATCTGAAAAATTCAAGAATAAGATGGTTATTATTATGATGATGACGATGCCGGAAGTATTATTATACGCGTTACTAACAACTGTTTAATGACTGAGTAGTGACAAAGGTTACATCTCTCTGGCTAGCTAAAATAACTAAGATAAACGTGACATTGGTCACGAAACCTAGGTCAGACAGAAATTCCTGTTGACTATACCTAACCACATAACATTAAGTTGGTTTTTTTTCAGTTTGAAATTTCATCAATAAAATATTTATTCACGAATTTGAGCGACATATCCACCATTGTCTTCAATGAATTACTAACTCACAACAGACCTGGTTGAACTCTACCGGTCACTACTTCTCACTATAACTCCAGGTGGGATCGTGGACGCGCACTACTGAGGAGTCCCACAAGAGGATGAAATGGCCATCCAGTGCTTTCAGGTTTTCCATAGTAGTCTAGCTTCAATCGAATCATGATTTCAACCATTGAAATTACTATAACACCCACAAAAACCCTTCTGATATAAAAATATTTATTCATAACTATAAATGAGCTGATTTTGATTTATTTATTTTAACACATAAATATTGGTACGAGGAGGCACCAAATACATACGTGCCACACAGATCTCATTTGATATATGTGAGAACTGTGATACTGCACGGGTGCCCAAACCAAAGTAGGTGGTTTCCTTAGGGGGTCACACTCGACCTAAAGGTCTGATCCACAAGGCAGTGAAGCATCGTAAGGAGATCCAGTCTCATTGTAGCAGGTGACCAACGATTGGTTCATACGCAATTTATTCCTTCAGGATACTGGAGGAATAAGCGTTTTACAACTCCCCCAGGTGGCCTCTCTATGTCCACCACCTCGGTTAAAGCACCGGACATTCGCTTTTCGTCCTCCCAATTTGGTAAACAATACCCCCGCCACGAGAAGGCAGTGAGTAGGACTTCTCTGACAGAGGCTATATACGCGTGGCCATGTGAGAGCATTTCGATAGGGAGAGCGGACTCTCCCCACTCTCGGTCGTACCAGGGTATTTGGGGGTTCACCCTGAGCTGAAATATATTTTGATATTGAATATGGAATTTATACTACTGACTAGTGTCAAGTTAAGATGATAATGAACAACCTATTTACTACTTAAATAAGAATAGTACTTAGTATACATAATATATTTATAATACTTACTTGTTTCAAACTGTCAGCTGAACGATAATTCATAACTGTGAAATGTCGATCATATGAGTCGAAATCGTCTAAAATAAATGGTCTGTATACAGGAAAGACAGATAGGTATTTCAGAAAGAAAGACAGAAAAAAATGAAGACAAATATCTTATTTATATTACTAACAACAACATGTCAATATTTATATGAGATATATTAAATTCATATGATAAACTATTTCTAGTCTTAATAAACAAACAATAAATTATACAAAGATAATCAGAGAGAGAGATTTTGTGGAGATTATAGTAATTTAATACCTGAGTTCATGGGTCCATTGAAGCTAGACCACCATGGAAAATCTGGAAGTACTGGACAGTTGTTTCATCCCAGTTCGAATCTTGCACGACGAGATTGGGGATGCACACTGCTGAGGAGTCCCATACTAGGATGGTGGTCTAGCTTCAACTGACTCATGAATTCAATTGTTAAATTATACGAAGATACCATATTTTTGCTATACTACTTAATAATGAGACAATCGATTATGGAAAACTTTTGAGTGACATTGAAGTGATCCTGAGAAAATTCATCTACCTGCTATGGGTTTAAAGAGGATTATAAAGTAGCGTGGGAAATAAAAATTGAGATTTAGAATTAGGGTTTTCATCACAAAATAACACAAGATATAATGCTATTTAGCATAAATGAATTTTGCGCCAAAATCCAAGACTCGTTAACTTAAATCTGAATAGTTCATCCATAAATAATAGTCTTGCCCTCTTTAATCTATATCCTAGATGTTACGTTTTCTGTACATGTACCTTTTCATTTTGCCTTTTCGTATTACATTCTCAAATGTTTAGTCGTTTTCATTATCATTACTACCATATCATTTCGAGTTGTTGTGCTAATATGGTATGGTGATATAATGGGCTAGTGCAGATTCGCGTCACGTTTGATATTAAAATAAGATATAAAAACACATTTTCAAATAACTGAGTTTCATTCTATACTGACGCTAAACATATCTGAGTAGATAATTTGAAGTATGAATGGTTACTTATCATGTCACTAACCTAAACACCTCAACTGCTGATCATATTAGAATTGAGTGTCCACTTGTTCAGTCAAACCGCGTAATCCAGCTTCTTCTGTAGAATTTTAATCATTGTCTTTGTAAATATCAATCAATGGAAAATGATGGATTTAAAATGTGCATAAAGCTTACTGTAGGATATCGACCTGATGAATTGTATCAAGATGTTTGGTGATTGCACTAGTTAGAGTCTTTCTTTCTCTTGTTCTGAGGCTTTTTGGAACATGTTCAAAAAATCTGAGATATGCCCTCCTTTCTGTTCGGCCAATGTAGCTGCTTTGGCAGGTACATGTAAATTTATAAATACAATTAGCGGTAACATGAAAAGGATGCTTATCAACCTTTGATTAAGTTATTGAATATGTTGTTTTATACAGAATTAGAGGTTTGGCCGCCGGATAAGTTCTGGCTAGCGCAGTATTTAGTCACCTGTTGATTGTGTTTGCAACATCACCACCCTTAAAGTTAAGATTTATAGTTATTGATTTTTTATTGACCGTAATTACTTCAGTATTGTTTTCTCTACGCTTTTTACATTTGTCAATAAACTTTTGTGGGTAAAAGTTGTCTCGTAGGCATTTTTCCACGTTCATCAATTCTTTTTCCAGTTTGTCAGTGGTAAATATCCTTTATGCCCTATAAAATAGTGTTTTAACTAATGCCTTCTTGTAACTGAGTGGACAAAAAACTATTGAAATTCACGTAAAGCCCATTCCAAGTAATTTTTCGATAAAGCGAACGTTGAACTGTCCCGTCTCTCCTACCTTTTTTAGTAACATCATTATGTAATTATGATTTTAAATATCACAGGTTGTAAGGAGTTGACGAGAACCAACGAAATAAAAATGAATTTATGCTATTCTGCTAGAATGTTTGTTCTTGCTCTTTTCATAAAAATATACGTTTAGTATTGGTTCATAGTAGATCTCAAAGTTACCATTTATTATGCTTATCAGGACATAACACTTACTTATTTGCAAATCGAAGCCAAAATACTTTATATGTGTACAGAATTAACGGTTTGACAGAACGTAATAATACCACATAGCGTATATCAAATTTCACATTAGCTTGTAAGTCGTTACGATAAAATAAAACAGGATCTGTGATATATCGACTAGCGATCTAATAGAATAACATAAAACAAAACAAAGCAGAATTAAAGTGGTAAGTGTCAAAAATATAAGTACAGTACCGACCGTGGCTGGTACCTTGATTTAATGATTAGGTTTGAATATCGTAATAATGTGAATAAGTTATGTTAGCTGAGACATATGTTGATTTAAACTTTATTAGACCAGTTAGGTCAGTTGGAGAATAGTGAGAATAAAAACAATAACTTAAGGCCCCAGGAAAAAATAGTACTGCTGGATGTACTAAGGTGTAACAGCAGTAAGGTGATTTCCTCAAACAACCAGGTTGAAGAATTATTTCCTCCCACAACGGGAGAAGGGCGTTAGAAAAGGTCAGCCATGATCTTCTTTTATAAATGAGATTGAAATACAGGGTTTTCTAACGAAAATTCCAAACTATTAACGCCAAGAGAGAGTTTGCAATGTAATTTGTCAAAGCTGACCACAAGAAATGTTTCCAGTACATAATAATAAAATAGTAACATATTTCGAATCAATAGTTCTAATGGTATTGTGATGAGCGACGTCATGACTGATTGGAAAGTAAATGAACTAAACAAAGCTGATTTCCTTCAATGGCCAATGATATTCTAATCATATTTATTTTTATGTTAATAGTTTCTACATAAAACATCAAAGAACGTATTATTTTGGCTAGTGATCTTGTATTTGATTGCAAAAAATTTAGAGGGAGATTTGTGAACAGATATCCTCTAGCCCTATTGTATTTCATCGATCGATCAGCGTTAAATTCATTCATTTTACTAATTGCCACTCTGGTTTACTTGTCAAATACTCTTCCATTAAAGCCATGTAAATTTGCATTAATTTGACTTGGTGATCATTTCATTTTCTAAAGAAGCAGCTTACGATAAGTTGCGAAACGTCAGAAACATAAGGAAATTAATTTTATACTTAATGGGATGTCACAGATATATTTTTACTATCCCCTCTAATGTTCAATTCATTTGAAGTTATGTTTGTATTATATATTTATAGCGTGAATAAATTCTCTTACCATTGGATTAACATCACAAGTTTTTATTATTCTATCCAAATTGTCAGTAATCACAATTCCCACACCTCGACCAAGATTCCAAGGCTTCAATATCCATATATTATGTTTATCATTTCTTCCACCTTCATCATTAGTACTAATGATTTTATTCTACAGAAAGATGATTTTGTAAAAGGAATACAATTTATGATACAATAAGGAAAAACAACACTTAATTGTATGAATACAAGTTATGCTGAAATGGCATTCTCTGATTTAGATAGTTTGGTCATGAAACTTTTATCCTGATTCTAGACAACGATTATTAGTACAAACTTCAAATAGAAATAAGCTATGAGAATTTCTTGACATATGATTAACAGTTCGTTCTGTAATTTTTGGAACTGACTGATGATTGCTGTTAAAATTCAAGGTCGAAAGAACAAGCTCTTAGTCACCGTGACTAATTTAAAACTAAACTATACAGAATCCTGAAGAGTGGAAGAAAATTTACTCTATGGTAGAAATAACAATCACCTTTATGAATCTAATATGAATGTCCTAGTGATTAAAACAACTGACTTTCAGTACTGGTAGAATATAGACTCGAATCCCGTTCTATCTATTTCAATTTATAGAATCAAATATTATCAGTAACCTTCACTAGAAAAGTTGCTTGACATTAAGCATATTAATGTATTTAATTGAAAAAACAACAAACTTACATAATTCGATTGGAAATAAGCACAAAATTGTGGAAGTTCATACACTAAGTTAAATGTAACTGGATACCAATTGGTTGAGAGTTTTGCATCAGTATCATCATTACCATGCATTAAATCGTTTGATTGTTGTAAATAGGTTTCCTTAGCTAAACTTGCCGCTAAACTAGCTAGATAATCCTTAACAGTGATGACGTGCTCACCAGGGAACTGATTAATATACGTATTTGGACTGTCTACAGATAATCGTCTATCCAAAAATAAATAAATAGAAAATGAATAACAACAATAGAAAAAAGATAATCTGAGTGTAGATAGAGAGTGTTATATCATTGAATAACACTTGAAATTATATGCATAAATGAAAAAAAGAAAGGGATAAAAAATAATACGTAATTTGAGATAGACAGGAGGAAACCTTGAATATGTAATTCGTACTAGCTGGTATTTATCCGCAAAGTGTATCTGTAATCTTAAGGGGACTGATAGTCGATGGGATTCGAATCCGGGTCACTCAGTTACACACACTGATACCATTCAATAAAGTTAGTAAGACTGTGGTTGACCTCCTGTAGGATTGAGATACTTACAGTGACTGATGTTACCCACGTCTAGTCTTTAGTGCTCATGATATTCTGTCGATCAAGTTGTAATAATAATAACAATGCAACTCACTCACTTATCAGGTGCTATTTGTATTTGTACTATACGAGTACCAAAAACGAAGTAGATAGAGTGGGAATTTAAACAAGCGGCCTACTGGTTGAAAGTTTAGCACTTTGATCATACTTATCGTAAATATTAAAAATAACATATCAGTGAAATAGTTACAAAAACACTAGGTCACAGCGTGCCCCCAAATGCCCTGGTACGGCCGAGAGTGAGGAGAGTCCGCTCTCCCTCTCGAAATGCTCTCACATAACCACGTGCATATAGCCTCTGCCAGTGAAGTCCTACTCACTGCCTTCTCGTCAAGGGGGTGTTGTTCACGGAATTGAGAGGATGAAAAGCAAATATCGGGCGCTTTAATCGAGTCGATGGACACGGAGAGTCCACCTAGGGGAGTTGGAAAACCCTCATTCCAAACCAGTGGTGTACATGGGCTCCAGTACCCTAAAGGAACAAATGGCGTATGAACCAATCGTTGGTCACCTGCTACAATCGGACTGAATCTCCTTACAATGCTTCACTACCTTGTGGATCAGACTTTCAGGTCGAGTATGTCCCCCTAAGGAAACCACCTACTTCGGTTCGCGCGCCCGAGCAGTATCATATCCCTCACACAAATCACATGACATTTGTGTGGCGCATATGTATCTGACGCCCCCTTGTACCAATATTTATGTGTTCAAATAAATAAATAAATAAAAGATCACAGCGAGATTTCAATCCTCAAAAAGAAAAACTCTATCAATTTAAGTCATTTTCATAGAACAAAATGAAATATTAAAAAGAAAGAAAGATTTTTCATTGAAAAATAACTAATACTATATGAATAAAACTAACTCAAAATCCTTGAAATGTGTATACATCCAAATAATATCAGCTTTATCTGGTGAATCAACAAAAGTAAATTGTGAATGAGTTAAATATTGTTTAACTTGATTCCAATCCGTATAAACAGTAAAATATTCTCGTTGAATTGGTTCATTCATTTGACATATTGGTAATGTTTCCTGTACTCGATGAGACTGTAAACAAAAAAAAAAAAACAAAGTGTGTTTAAATAATGAGGGAAAAAATAGCTACAAGCAAAGTTTATCCGAATTCAGTAACAGTACATAGTCGATTTATTTAAATTACTAGTTAGTGGAGCTGTGATTTATGACGTTTAATCACCAAGTCGTAATTTCTGATGATGACCTACCGAACTTGGTTTGGAAGATTGAGTAATATATCTCGTACACATAAAATGGAGTTCGAAACCAAGTACATGAATATGTAAGCGATAAATGAGTTTACAATAAATGCATATATATATATAGGTCTCAAGCTATGAATTATACCATTACTGATTTGAAATCCACTAGAATACATACCAATTATCATGGAGTTCTTACACGATTTTTTAGACAGTACAGTGAATTATAAAGCGACAGTTCACTTTTTAAGATTTAGTGATATTGTATCTCGAAAAAAAATGAAACGGTACTTATAGCTCCGTAACATGTATCGAAAATATCATTATACGTGAAATTTCATGTATAATGAAAGTCAGAGAGGTTTATGCTAATCTGGACCATCTTTGGCGCCTTCGTAATGTCAGTTTGGCTGTAAAAGGTCAGATCTATAACGCATCGGTGAATGCAGTTTTGCTCTATGTTTGTGAAGCCTGGCCTTTCCGAGTTGGGGATGTCAGACGACTCTCTGTGTTTGATCATCGCTGTCTCCGAAGGATTGCTGATATCCAGTGGTAACACCATGTTAGTAATGCAGAGGTTTGGCATCGTGTGTTCGGGCAGAGAGACGATAATTCAGTTAGTGTCACTATCTTGAAATATCGACTTGGGTGCCTTAGATATGTTCTATGAATGTCATCCCAGAGAATTCCACGCCGTGCATTGTCTGTTGACGCTGGGACTGGTTAGAAAAGGCGGAGAGGTGTTCAGTGTATGACATGGTGTCGTGGTATGATAGAAAGCTGCAAAGGGTTGACTTCTGTTGGTCCTTCACGACTCCCTGGTTGGGGTCCTAGAGATGGCGCAACACAGTGGCTAGAGATGTTATCAGATATAGCTTAGAATAGAAGCCAGTGGCGATCCTGCTGTAACCTTCTTTTACTTTCTTCATAAAAAGTGTTTGTAACTTCCTTAACGGAAGGAATTCTTTCTGGTTGTACCTTTCCGTCTCCACCATTATTACTATTATTATTACACTACCATACACTAATCTGTGGTCTTGATTGTTTTTCTCCGTCTTTTTTTTCTTATAGCCACCTTACGTTCTTTTTCTCTTCCCATTCTCACTGTTTTGTGCGGCGCATATATATATATATATATATATATATATATATATGGTGCCCCCTTGTACCAATATTTATGTGTTCAAATAAAAATCGAAAATGTACTGTTAAGCTATCGTAAATTAACTTAGAAACAGCAACTTATTTATATAACTGGTTAAATTAAACTGTATATAAGAGAATTAGTTATTATTCTTACATTGAACAAAATAACCGTTGCTTACGGTTATTGTTTAGGCAGTAAACCTATCGTTAATGTGATATACATTTAAGAGGCTCATGTATTTAAGGATAATTTAACTTGACATTAACAAAATACAAAAATATAAACATGTAACAAAAAACAACAACTTCAAATTATATTATAAATTCAATGTTTCAACTAGTTTCACTTGCTGTAAAATATTCATCTGTAAAAATGTATGTATGTTCAATAGGTTCATTGGAAAAATCTTCTGATTCCCATGGTAATAAATAATAAGATCGTAATTCAGGATTTTTTACATGTTCTACATAATCAATTGTAATACTATCTAAATTATAGGAGAAAAAATGAAAAATATAATCATCTTATTATAGTTAGCTAGCAGGAAAAAAAAGTAAACATACTAATTAAAAGGTTTTGATTGAGATCATGAATCAATCAATGTTAGACCACCACTGAAAACTTGGAAGCACTGGACAATCGTTTCGTCCCAGTATGAGACTCTCTGGCAGTGTGTAACCACGATCGCGCACGTGAGACTTCCACCAAAGATCTTCCATCTTGCGCGCGAACGCCTAACCTCTGCTAGATTGGATACTTGGACGATCCACTAAACACAGAATAAATCACATCATATCAGATACCTGGTTCACGATCAAGAATAATTACAAGCAGTCACTCTCAATGAGTCTATAATAGAAATCAATAAGAGGAAAGGAAATCACATATTTAATAGACTGTCTGTTTACATTTAGCGAACAATCAAATTTACGGTCTGATTTCCCAAACCGAATTAGGTGTATCGAGTTTAAAAGTTGTTAATGAATTTATGAAAGTCGCTTGCCAAAACAACTAAGTCATAACTCTACATAACATTGTTGAATCTTATTTTTCATTTTAAACTGAGAATGTACTGACTATTGTCAATCTTTTTGATCTCCAAAAGATACATCATCCTACAATCATATCGAATTACGCGTATCACGTACACCAGAATTCGAACCCAAATCGTTGTAGAAATTTGATAATGATATCGGTGACATTCATACGGTTACTTCTCAACTATACAAATAGCTTATGCCTTAGATTCGGTGAAATTGTACACTAGCACAAATAATAACAATAGAAGTTAATAATAATTATCGTTATCATTATTATTAAGAGTAACAAAATAAATGACAAGCAGAATGATTACCATTTTTTTGTAAATCTTTAATAGGCCAGAACACAGAGTAACATAAGTTACGTGGTACATAGTAAAATGGTACCATACGAGCTGGAAATATGCAAGTGAAAAAAAAACAAACAATTTTTTAAGAGAATTCTAGAATATAAAATACTATTCTGATTTCCTTTAGCCAAGCAACTAAAATTTATATAATTAAGCATTGAATAAAAGGCAACCATAATTAAATTTTGAAACAAGCTTATTAAGCCCTAATGTCGACTAACTATTATGACTAGTAGTTGAGATTTGTTATTTGTAAAGAGCAATCTTAGAAGACAGAATATGATCAAAACTAGAGCCCGAAATTAATTAAATAAATATCGATTAAGTCTCTTAAATAAGCACATTTAACCAGTCAATATTAAGACTATACATAGACGTTTAGTACTGTCAAGTTGCATGTTACTTTACGCCACTGATTACTACGTAATGACCACTGTCATATTTATCTAAGCCATTTTTAGTGTTGATCGAATTCTATTGATCAAGTCGTAATGACATCATTAGTATAAGTGACTTGACATCGCATGTACTGTAAGATGTTGGGGGGTAATTAATCAATATTAATATCTCAGTTACACTTCAGCCACGGTACGAACACCTGAGTAGTAGTATCAAAACTGTGAGGACGAGAGACGTAGGCTCACATTCCATAAAGAGTATCAGTCCCCTGAATATTGCGGTACATGCTTTGTTTACGAGTATCGAACAGTACGAAAACCAAGTCCAGAGTTTCCCAGTGACGACCTCTAAACACCGAATATATGCATACGCCTGGTATCATCCCTTTTACGTAACCACTTACACTCTATGCACTTAAGTCAAAACCGGCATGAAAACTCACAGTTCTCATTTTCCAAAAATTTAATACTGACTGATTTAATTTAAAACTTTCATGCATGGTTTGTATTGGCCTTTGTCCTGAAAATATATGGACTTGATAACTATAGAACCTTGGGTGAAAATTTTTGGGAAAAATTATTTCCTCAAACAGTTGACTTTGTTTATTTTATAAATGCTTAGTAAAAATTTACCAATTTAAATTTACATAATAGTAGTCACACTCATATATATATAGTCTAAATACCTGTAGGCTCATCAGAATGTTGAATACGTGATCCAACTTCATCCAATACATACCACATTATTTGTTGTAACTCAGGTACTTGTGATAACAATGACATATTCTCCTGTGTTGATAATTTGTAATATCGACAATATCTTCCAAGTGAGAATAGACAAAACATGGTTTAGAAAAGTTAAATAGATTCCTAGCAAATATGAAAATTATTATTAATCCACCAACCAGCTACAGACTAGTATACTTGGCATTGAGCCTATTACGATGTCTGAAAATTAAGTCCAACAACCAAATCTTACTTGATTAGAGAATGAATGACCACAAGATAATTTCCTCCAATCGGCTATGACATTTTATTAATTAGGTATTTAAATTCTGTATATAAGCATGTTAGATTATCATGCCAAAGAAGTCCTAATCACTGCCTTCTCGCTGCGAGGGCATTGTGTAGGATATTGAGGGGACAAAAAGCGAATGTCCGGCGCTTCAACCGGGTTGGTAGACACGAAAAGTTCACCTAGGGGAGTTGAAAAACCCTGATTCAAAACCAATAGTGCAAATGGGATACAGGATCCTGAGGAAACAAATGGCGTATGAACCTATCGTTGGTCACCGGTTACAATGGAACTGCATCTCCTGAGATTACTCCACTGCTTTGTGGATCAAACCTTCGGATCGAAGGCTCCGGGTGTGGCCCTCAAAGAAAATATCCTACTTCGGTCTGAGTATCCGTGCAGTATCACAGCCTACTCATAAATCAAGTGACTTGTGTGGCGCATATGTATTCGGTGCCCCCTTGTACCAATATTTATATGTTCAAATAATAATAATAAATAAATAATCTACTTATCTAGCTAGTGGTCTTGTCATTCATTTTTAATCATTAGAGAGCTTATATTAGTAATGGTCTTGCAAACAGCCATTACTTGGTCATATTACATAATCGCATTTATCTTTCGACCAGCACTGAACTCATAAATTATAAAAGTCGAAAGTTTTCTGATCAGATAATCAAAAACTTTCTCCATAATAGTGGCAACAACAGTGAGATTCGAACCCCTTCGGGGAAACTCCAGAGGATTAATAGTGTTATTGAAATTACAGGAGGCGAACACACATCATATCTCAAGGTTTCTTGTTAGTTTACAGAGCTACACTAAACGATGCACTAACAAATTGGCGATCACCAGCGGAAGTCATCATGTGTCGCAGATTGAGAGCAATCAAGCATCCGATGTTACTGAGGTCTAACTATGGAAAACGGTACCATTGAAAACCTTAACATTCGCGACTGAAGCTGTTGTGTTCGCTCGAGATTACAGATCGAAGAATGACACATGGACAGAGGGGTGTAACGCAAAGGTTAGGCTAGGTGATGTACATGAGGGTCGGGAAAGACAAATGGACATGAAATCTCAATCAGTTACAGGAACGTATATCATGAGAATGTAGGAAAACAACAAGCAACTTACTTCCATACATTTTTACAAATATTTGAAGCGATATCCTCATTTAGTTGATTTAAAGTATTTATATTCATTAATGAAGCCATTCGTTCTAAGAGACTAGGAAGTTGAAGTAAGCACTCTTTCATAGATTGTACATCAAAAGTCCACGCATGATCAACGAGAAATATACTAGAATAATTTTGTCAAAATTTATCATATCCTTGTTAGATTTTGCATACTTATTACTATCTGATACTAAAAGTTGATCACTACAAACTAAAATATCCCAGTCACGATTAACAGTCAACTCTTCGCTTCCAATTTCATTATCACCTTCGTCGTCATTTGTATATTCAATCTGTTGCATCATAACACTTGTGTTAGCATCATATATCTGTAAAAAATATCATTTATGCAAAGTAACAAAATCAAATACAACAACACCTCATGTAAAAGTTTCTCGTGTAGTCTACGCCAAAAGTGAGCAGGAATTCTACTTGCTCTTAGTTGATCATCGTGTAATTTGATGAATTCTTTAAAGTCAGGCTGAGTAGTACCGTTCATTTGAATTTATTAATCAATTAGTCTAAAAATATAAAGATAGATGACGATTTTATTCATGAATATACTTGAGACTAACATGTTAAAGTATTCTTATCAATTTTGGACATATTCATAACGGTTTAGTGAATGCTATTCACTAAGCTTAACTAAATGCTCCTTAGTGCGTGCAAGTTTTAGAGCAGTGAAATGTTTGACTGCCCATCGATGGATGGGTATAAAAATCAGTATAACGTTCCGTTTTGCCTTACAACTATGGTCTATTAAAGCTAGTAGTAAATAGCATAATAGGTCTAAATGTACTTGAATAGAAAACTATCTGAAAAAGGAAAGTGATACTCAACAACCATGACAAGTTTGATTTACTAAACACAACGATAAATAAAAAAGGATGGTAAGTGATACTGGTTGATAACACGAACCTTCCATTACTTTTTTTTGAAGTCAATGTTTGATCTGTGACTCAATGGTTAGAGGACTTGAATTTTAACAAATAAGTAGGAGTTTTGAACTATATATACTTCTGTTTACGTACCTCAGTAGTATATCTAGCTCTCAGAGTGTGGTTAAAAACCGAGTACAAAAAATGTTTATGAGTTGCAAGCAATTTACTATATTTTTATTTCGAAACAATTAAATAATGTATGGCCACAGAAACAGCTCCATTTAATCTGCCAACACAAGGAATCCCAAGGAAGCTACTGGAGTGCGAAAGACATAGCGCTTAGTTGATGCGTGGGGAGAAATGAGAAGACGGAATTAACCAGAGACATGTGATGCATTTTCACAACACATTTGAACAGTCTGATAACACGTATGCCTTGAAACGTACTTCATTGGAAAAATGTTGAACAAATACAGTGATAAATAGGAACACAAGTAACAATGCAAAACATAACTAGTAAATTGTTATACTATTGCAGGTTTTGAAGTAGATGAAGGATTGTTAGGCCAGACTCACGGTGAACACCAAGTCAGTCAGTAACAACGTCGAACATCGGTTGGAGTTGCCATACCATATTATCACAGGTGCAGTTGTCGATTCGTGAACACAAAGTATTTTTAAATGTACACTTAGAAGCTCCTAATAAAACCAACCCTGTGACCTGTCTCAATGCTTTTGCTGTCAAGATCCCTCGTTTTCTGCTCCGTGTATATACAGGAATATTCTAATCCATCTTGAAGATTTTTAAGCACATGAATCAATACCCTCTTCCATAGATTTTGTTTGCTTATCACTCATAGTTTCGACATGTATTTGAAATAATAAATACTAAACAATGTGACTTGCAAGATTCAGAGGCCTATGTGGATTTACAGTTTCAGTATTTCTGACGAAATACCAATTGATAGCATTGGTTTAGAAATTAATCCGTTTAAGTGTCCTACACGTGGTAACTGATTGTAAACCTTCGCCCTTCGATTAAAAACTAACCTGTTCATATATCGATAACTCCGCACAAACTAAAAGAAATCTGATGGATATATATCCATCAGATCACATATGCGATCAACATTGGCCCTGGAAATACAAATCCCTTGTAACAAACGTCTTACTAAACCTAAGATTGCACGTAAGAAACGTGTTTTCGTTAACACCAGTACTGTTGAGCAGACGAACACTGTATAATCTACGACTCTGATTTTGTTTATGTCTTAGTTACAACGGAAACTGAGTTACCTATGTTAGACGGTGGAAGCACAGGATTTATATCTGTTTCTATCATTCTATTGATTACATTTGATAGCAATTTATACATTTTATCTTATCATGCTGCGCCTCTCCCAATTATCATTTCCGTATCTATCTTTTGATGAATATTTAAACCATTAACAGTCAAACGATCAATAGTTTCCCTGTTAAAACTATTTACTATCTTTGTTTACTTAGCCCTACTGTCACTAAGTCTAACAAAGTTCATTATCATTATTATTGTAATTGCAATTTCAGATATCATCCTGAAAAATGAGTAAATACATTTGTGATTGTAACACTTCGAAAACCAATTCGCCGAAAAGAGAACTCTTCGCCGAACCAATCTTTTTTATTTGACGTCCTAATGAGTGCATTCCGTTTGCAACACAAGGTGACATACCACGGTGATGCAAAGTAACACTACTATCAGAACACCCGCCTTCTCAATTCATATGCTAAATTCTATACTTATTGCAAAAAATTTGATGGTCTGTATGATTACTAAGAATGTGAAGTTCCGGAGTTATTATGTATTCTTGTGACTAATCTACAGAAAAAGCTGTGATTAACCAGTAGCAATAATGATCTACATAAATGATCTTCCTCAACAGGTAACGTCAGACTTATTACTTTTTGCCGACGACGTGAAACTTTGGAGAGAGATACGCAACCAAGACGATATACTGGCACTTCAAGAGGATCTGACTCGACTTCAAAGTTGGGCAGACGATAACGGACTTACCTTTAACACTTCAAAGTGTAAAGTAGTCCATCTGCGACATGTCGCAAACTACAGTTACAACTTAGGAAACTCCTCTCTAGTAGTATCCCAAGTCGAAAAAGATTTAGGAGTCCTGGTGCCCCATGACTTAAAGTCTTACGCTAACTGTGACAAAAATGCCTTCCGAGCAAACCTTGCACTGGTAACGTTGAGGCGCATTTTTGGCCAGTTTGACGGAAGAACTTTCCACACAATCTTCAATAGTTTCATCCGTCCCCATTTAGAGTACGGAAACATAGTACTCCCCCCCTCACTCCAAAAGGACAAGGTCACTTTGGAGCGTATCCAACGGCGAGCCACGAAATCAGTTCGAGGACTCAAATCTAAGCCTTACGAAGAACGCCTCTGTTCACTAGACCTTTACCCACTAGAATATAGGCGTCTTAGAGGTGATTTATTAATGGCTTATAGTATTCTTAACACTTCTGGACATCCTCTTAAACACCTACTTAAGCTTAGTTCGAATAATAACCTAAGGGGTAACACCCAGAAACTGGAAACACAACATAGCAAGACGGAATGTAGACACAACTTCTACTCCTTAAGAGTTGTCAAAAGCTGGAACTCGCTGCCGGCCGAGCTAGTCCAAGCGACTTCTCAGGAGTCCTTCAAGAGGCAACTTGACCTATTCTTAAGGACCAAGGACAGCATCACACTATGATTTACCAATTTCTTTTCCTTTTTTATTGTTAACATACCTAGGTTCCTGCCTGGAGGATTTGGTGATCCCCTGCTACTAGACACGGAAGCCTGTTAAGCGAAAGCTTCTTCTATTCCGTCCACAACCATTTGAACCATTCACGCGCAACGGCGGTAGTTACAAATTTTACGGTTCTTAGACGCTGTTGTAAATTTGCTCAACGCTTGCGCTCGTGTGGTTTAGTTAAAACACCAATAAAATGTTGGATGTTGAAGTTGTCCCCGAGTTAGGGATACGACATAAACTTTGGGAGTTCGTTCTTGGGATGCCCATCCAACAAATGATTGACATTCTACGAAAACAAGATCATACGATTAAAAATGTTGATTTTTGGTATAGTGACAAGGATCCTTTCAGCATGAATTTGGTATTGGTACTACCTGGTGATGGCGTCAAATTTCACTTTGACCCATTTTTACAAAGACTTAGGGTTGGTATCCCTGTTTCCTAATTTTGTATAGATCATCGAAGTTTTTGATTTGTCCTCCATCACATTACGGTATTGGTAACTATGATTGCTTTTCGGCTTTACGGTTTAGGTCACAGTATTTTAACAGTCCATCTATCTTGCCAACAATGCAGGAGGTGTTAAGAATATTCGGATCCACAAAACCTCTGGGTATGTAAAAGTGTTTAAGATTCTCTTAAAATGGTTATTGTGTTTAGTGAGGCCTCATTATTTCTGTGTCCTCCAGTCTGTGCTTGATTTCTTGACTTAAATAAACTTCATTACATACAAACGGGACTTGAAAATAATCATGTGTACGTTCTGCCATAAATTCTTGCACTCATCAAAGTAGCTTGAAAGAAAAATGTGTGTTAAATGTAAATAATCGGATTTAGATTTTTATTTTGAGGACGAAGGATGTTGCATGTGTGTCCAGTCCTTTTGAATGAGTCAAATTACCATGATTATCATTACCGCATATCAGCAACTAGTACTGCTTCCCCTTCTTACACATTACAACTTAGTAAATCATTTGTTTCTTCTTGAAACAATTATCTTCTCTTAGAACTCGAATTATCACATTACAACTAACCTCCTGCCTGCCAGTATGATGGCTGCTGTCATCCGGAAAGACAACTTCACTGAGACAAACGCATTCACTACAAGATAAACAAATCCACAAACAACTACCACACTGACTAGAGTTAGTGCAATTGAGTGGCTAGACCACCACCTATTGAAAATTAACAAATTGCTCCGAAACATCAAGAAGTGATCGCAAAGATATCAGTCGATCTAGGCAGACTCGTAACAAAGATTTTGGATTGGACACCATAAATGACTCGGTTTGAAAACCAATGTTCCACAGTTATTTTATTCATTTTTGGCTTTTCAACTCGCCTGCTAACAGATACCTAGACTCATGGAGGTAATAGGTACTAAATGTGTAATCTCTAAAGTAACATGATTGAAATGCAAAGATTAAAGATGCAACGTAATGCTCAATACATGAAGGAAGTATTCGAAATTAAGTCTGTTTGTAGACGAACGCACATAGTACACGTTTTTCAAGCCAACTTGTCGGAAAACCATAATATGTGGTTGTTACTTTGTCGTAATCTAACCGACTTCTCTGGTGAAACTGCTACTCAGTTCATTAGTTTGATGTCTGTGAAATTATTTTCTAACGTTTGCTTGCAGTCATATTAGTATTGTATATTAATTTATATGTGCTAATTGGGCTGGAAGGTCCGTTGACATATATTTCAGCTAATATATTTGGGTCGACTACCATAATTAGGAATCAAGGATATAATTAGCACTTGCTTCATATTTTATGGTCAGTATTGTCTTATTTTATATCATAATGAATCTTCAGGATTCACAATATATGTCCATAATTCAAGCATTTACGTTGCTATTAAGATACTATGCATAAACTTAGCATATTTTTAGATATTTTATAGTGAAGTCCAGTGATCAGCTGATATAGGATTAATCGTGCACATAGATACTAAGCTTCCAATTTTAAATTGGCATCACATTATACTTAACTAAAACTTTCGCGTATCCTCTTTCACCATTCACAATCATTATATAATTTCTTTATATTAAAAACAGTCCCAGCGGAATCAGATGGTGACTACCAACTAACTTATCGAGGTATTACCTTCATATTGCGAAGGTTCTCTACTGGAAGTCGTGAATCGATTGATTCCAAGTCTGATCTACTTGCTACACGACTATTTATTTATCTGGGTAGTAATTTGGCAGAAGCTAAGTGAGTACTATTGAGTTTAGAAACATTATTTCTTCATTTTCACAGTTACTATTGTTACCATCCACATAATTTCTTTGGCATTTGAAGTAACAAACTTACTAGCACACCACTAGGTTTTCGTTGCGGTACTTTGAAACAAATACAAGAGAAACTAAGAAGAAGTAATAAATGAGTTTTTATTCAACAACCAGTTGTATAATATAATCTTCAGGGTTAAAAATGAGGTAAATAATTAGTGCCTGCCTAATACAATTGAGTAGTCGTACTTGGATTGATGACTTAGGTTATGCAAGTACTGACCGGGTCCAACGTTGCTTAACTGCGGTGATCGGATGAGAACCTCTGCTTTCAAACGTGGTATGGTCACTGGCTACTTGGACCGATGCATGTATGTGCCTGGTCCTACGTTGTAACTGACTGACTGACTGAATTTAGGTTATGAAATCTTAACTTCCTCTCTAGGGTCTGGATACTCATTCTAATATATATGGTTAGGAACCGTAAACAATGTGGCTGAAAATCGTTCTTGGTAGAGCATCTGTGTTCATTCTTTACCTTCTAAATAGTAAGCTCAATGTGACTCCATACTTTTTATCTCGCTCATCCCCTTTGAATTATTTTTTTGGAGTTCCCATTATAATTAATATTACTATTTTTCCTCCTTATCGTTAATTACCAAGTGGTACGTTACTCAACATATAGTATTTTGTTACCGGGCTTATGTAGAGTATTCTGTGCTGAGAATCCTATATTGTACCAAAATATAATATTGAATGAAGCCATTAATAATAATATTATGCTCTATCAACCCGAATCGATGCGAATTAATGATTGGCGAAAAAGGTTATACATTGACAAGCAGTTTTTTTCATGTCATGTTGTGCATACCTCATTTACAGCTTTACTGGATCATCTAAACATTCACCAGCACTAAAATTAGTCGATCTTATATTTACAGACGGACCTCAACATCATTACTAAAATGCTGGTCATCGGTGGCAAATAGCACTCTTCAGTAACGTAAAAATTACGACTTTGCTGTCGTATCCCGGTACAGATTCACAAGGTAATCAGTTAAAATACGTGTTTAGAATATTATTGTGTTTTACTGTCTTAATGATTCCAGTAACAGTACAGTGACATATGTGACCAAATATCTGTCAGTTACGTATATCTTTTACTCTGTTTTACAGCCGTAAACTAGCAAAAAATGTCGCTGATCAGTATGCTCGTCTTTTTTATGGTAAATAATGAGTAAACAGTTAAAAGTCTGCGTATATACTGTTCAGTGAGGGTTAATACTGGCATTTACTCGAGTTAAATTAGTTCAGATCTGTTTCATATTAAATTCTATGGTCAACAGTCCTAAAGCCAAGCGATTAAGCTATGTTTACTTAAATAAACACTATTAGCATTCACCTTATGCATACTGTTTTCTTATCGGATTAGGTCACAATGCACAATTTCCTAACCACCTATGAAAATTAAGAATACTGAGTTTATATGAAACTGTAATTGACAAATTTCGAATGA